AGTTCCATATAAATCCGAACTTGTTAGATGTGTATGTTTGCAAGTTCCACTCTAGCCTTAACCAACTGTGACCACTGAGAGTAGAGCTCAGATGTTTTATTGAGCCCCCAAAGTTAGTCATATATAGTCGTTGAAGGAGTTAAACTCACCATGCCCAGGTCAACTACCAGATAAACTATCTCAGATCCCAGTGATAAGAAGGCATCTACAGTCTAAAACCTTCCAAGTGTTTTAATACCCAGTCAATGTTGAAAATCACTGCATGAGAATGAGGAAAATTCCAATATCTAATCAGTAACCAAAGTTTACTTAGCAGATGTAATTTGTGTTTATGTCCATTAAATTAAATTTTAATTTTCAATTACCAATGTCAGTTCTCTTATAGAATAGCTGATGTTCTTTCACTCTAAAGTTACTCAATGTTATTCAGTCTAAATCTAGGTACTAAGACAAAGTAAAGATATAGTTAATTTTGAAAATAATAGAAAAAATAGAGAAAATAGAAAAGGTGTGAGATTAAAATGTATGAAGACTCAGAGTTCTAACAGATTTCAACCCTAATTGTGAAATTTCAAATTATGTTTGTTATTTGCTTAATGAGAAACTGCTAACCCATGTTAACTCCTTGTTTACTCAGATCATGTATATGCAACTTATTCTAAGAAACATCTTAAGTTGAATGTTAAAGCAAAATGTGATTTGGTATTAAAATTCCTGTGAAATTAAACAAGAAAGCTACAACTTTTATTCTTGTTCAGGTTTATCTAAAGTACTAGGCAGGCTGTATCTTATAAAATAAGAGCAAATAGCCCTATTTCATTACAATTACAAGATTCTACTAGATGTAATGTTTTCTCTCAGTTTGGAGTAGAAACAGTGATGCAAAATAAGGAATTTCAATATTCTGGCACAGCTTAAATTTTCTGATCTCTGTGTGAATTCTTTTAACAGAGACATTTAAACATGAGAAGAAACATCAATTCTACAATTCAATGTAAATAATTTGGACATTATCCAAAGCAATTTTCACCCCCACAAGAAGTGAATTCCAATCCCTGCCACTGTTCCCTTCCCATTACAAACTCTGTCTCTATGAAAAACAACCATTTGCCCAAGAAATACTTGATACTTCTTTTAATTGTAGAATGCATATGTCTTTATACTATCTATTGTTATCATTTTGGAAAGCTAGAACACCAATCTAAACTTAAGGTAAATTCTAAAATATGATTCAGTTACTGCGACATGCCAGAGATTATTCTAAGCCTTTTATGAGCATTTTCTCATCTAATTCTACAATGACCATCTGCTCAAATATCACATCCTCTGAAATGCTTTATCTGTCTAACACATGGAAGTATTTAATTTATTTCCTAGTAAGATTATACATTATATAACTTGTTAATTTCTTTCTCAACTATAGCGGTAATTCCATGAGGGCACAAGCTTTGGGGTTACATCAATATCAAAAGAAAATCAGGCATACAGTTATTGTTCAGTAAAGACTAAATGGCTTAAATGTATGAGAAAAATGTCTACCTGAGAGTAAAGAAGCTGTTACATGATTAAAGGGAAAAAGCTACACTGGAAGAACTGATTTTTGTTTTGCTTTGTTTTGTTTTTGAGAGTATTTTCTGTGTAGGAGAAAACTAGCTGACCTTGTCATTTTTCAAAGGTGATGACTACTATATTCTATTTTGATTTAGCGTCAAATCCTCTACATTATGCATTTATTACATCACATTACTAAAGTTTTCTCTTATATTCCTTGTTCTTTCCTCATTCCTCTTATGGGAAGCTTGATGACATCATATCAGCTATTCCAAACCCTAAGGACTTACCCAGCTGTCTTTCCGACCTTACCTCCTTTTCACATCTTTTTACCACATCCAATGCTCGTAAAGAAATCTCTCTTTATCACCACATGTCAACTACTCCCTGTTTGCTACTGTTATTGACAGTCCTCCTGATCTTACTCTACTGTCTTCCTTTTCCCTAGGGCTTCTATAACTTATGTTAGAAATTTTGCCTCTTAGGATTTACTGTTTGTCATCTGTTTCCCCCAATAGACTCTCAGTTATATAAGCAGTGATCATATTTTGACTTCTGATATAATCACGAGTGCTTAGAACAATGTATAACACATGGTAGGTATTCAGGATATATTTGATGAATTGATGCTTAAAAATTTATCCAGGATAACAAATTGCTAATTGAGAATAGTATTAGAAAGATTTGGATAACTGAGTAGGAAATGTGACTATGGGTTGGGCTGAATTAAGTACTAGTATGTGCTTATTATCTAGCTGCAATTTAAATATTTATTAATATACCCAAAGCAACTGTAATATCAGGCATAATTTCAAAAACTATACCCTATCCTTGTTTTATAATGATGACTTAGATTTTAAAGAGACATTGGGAATCACCAATAGTCATTAGAAACTTCAATTATTTTGCCAACAATCAATTAATATCTTCTCTTTAATATTTCTTAGAAAGGTTCCAACAAATGTTACTTATTTGTGAGAATTTCTCATGCCCTATTCAAATGTATATTTCTCAATCCATTCCCCTAATTCTGCCATATTATTTGTTTAAGATTCATGGCTATAAATAGCCTTAAGGTAAATATTCTTAAAGTAAATTTCACAGCAAATAAAATCCAAACAGAAAATTTTCAAACCCAGGAAAAAAATAAAAGAAACATATTTCAGATACTCATAAGTAAAATAACTCTGATGAATAAAGAACTCATATATACATTTTTCTTTCTCTTGTTCTTCCTCCCTCTTCCCTCATCCCAATATGTGACTTCATATGCCAAAAGTAAAAATCAACCAGATTGAAAAATACGAGTTGATGAGAAAATAGGAAAATGATAATATAAACTAGAATGGGAGCTTATTTGTAAAGCAGCAGTGAGAGTTATTTCATTGCTATTTTCATCATTTGGCTCATGCAAAAACCATTTCTAATAGAACTTAAATTATTTTATACAAACTCTACCAAAATATATGCTTTGTTCTAGTAGAATGTCTCTGAATTTTGTAGAAAAAATTAAACATTTAACTTTATATTTTAAATAATGTTTAAATTAGGTTTTTATTTTGAAATTTCATTGATGTATAATACACAATTTCAATGAAGCTCTTTGACAGCTGCATTAATATTGAATATCAATGCAATACATTTCTTAACTTAAAAGATGTTGCTGTTGTCTACAAATATTAATTTGAAATATTTGACTTAATATATTTTATAAGTATCAATATATCATGAATTTACTATAAAAATATCCTATAGTTGCTGGTATTGCAACCTTTTACAATAAATTCATATGCATTCAATTGATTTAAGGTAGAAAATTGATGCATTTTTGCCTCATTAATATATCAATTAAAATGAATGATATTCCTGTTTATAGAGTTGATTCTAATTACTATGAATCAAACATTGAATTTTCATTTGCCTACTGTATATAGAGGGGACAAAAAGGAAAAAGAACAGATTGCTTTTATTCTTTGAAAAGTTCATATATGATATATGATAGTACTAATATTAAAAAGTATGCATATCATAAAAATTGTGTTAAGATTCTACTCTTGCCCTTCTGCATCATCTCATACCTCTGTTTATCAGTATGCATCAAATCAAATTGTAATTAATTTGAGTGCCTGTGGCTTATATAAGCCTATAATACTAGCAATTCAAGCGACTGAGATTTGAGGAGAAAAGTTCAATGTCAGCCTGTGCTGAAAAGTGTATATGACTCCTTTATCAAAAAAATTTTTTTTTGGATCCGGTCGTGGGGCCTGAACTCTGGGCCTGGGCGCTGTCCCTCAGCTCTTCAGCTCAAGGCTAGCACTCTACCAATTGAGCCACAGTGTCACTTCCAGCTTTTTTTCTTTTGCTTATGTGGTGCTGGGGAATCGAACCCAGGGCCTCATGCATGCAAGGCAAACACTCTACCACTAAGCCACCTTCCCAGCTCCCTTCTTTATCAAATTAACCAACAAAAAGTCAGAAGTCAGCCAGATGCCAGTGGCTCACGACTGTAATCCTACCTACTCAACAGGCTGAGATCTGAGGATCGCGGTTCGAAGCCAGCTTGAGCAGGAAAGTCCATGAGACCCATCTCCAATAAACTACTCAGAAAGAGCCAGAAGTGTTCTGTGACTCAAGTGATAGAGTACTATCCTTGAGCACAAAGAGGCTAGGGACGGCACCCAGGCCTGAGTTTAAGCTCCAGAACCATGCTGGGGGGATGAGGGTAGGGGGAAGGGGACATGCCAGAAGCCAAGGTATGCTTCAAGTGAAAGAACACCAGCCTTAAGAGAAAAAGCAAGTAAGAGCATGAGGCCCTGAGATCAAGCCACAGTACCAGCGCATGTGTGCACACACACACCCTCTCTCCCGCCCACACACACCAGAACAAGAAGCCGCTTGAACCTTTATATTTCATGCTCTATTTTAATGCTTGATACCCTTGCCCATATCATTCAATTTTACAGACCAAAAAAAACTGATTATCTCAGAAATTAAGCTAACAAACCCATGACAGACTAATACCTGTAAACCATTATTTTGCTGTTTTTCTTGAGAGCGAATTTGTATTTTTTTTTGTCAGTCATGGGGCTTGAACTCTGGGCCTGGGTGCTGTCCCTTAGCTCTTCAGTTCAAGGCAAGCACTCTACCGCTTGAGCCACAGAGGCTCTTCTGGTTTCTGGTGGTTTATTGGAGACAAGAGTCTCATGGAGTTTCCTGCCCGGTCTGGTTTTGAACCGTGATCCTCAGATCTCAGCCTCCTGAATAGCTAGGATTCCAGGCGTGAGCCACCAGTGTCCTACCAAATTTGTACTTTGAACATTAAAATAAACCTTTATGTCCAAATTCATGATAGAAGACTCTTCTCCTTTTAACTTTTTGCACTGGCATAAAATATATAGATATTATTTTTCATTGTCAAATACAAGAGAATCTACACTTAAATATCTTACCAATTATTTCTCTCATCAGAAAATACAAGATGAGTGAAAAATGACACAGCTTTAGACGATTTGAAACTGAGGTGGCAAGGTATTTTCCCATTAATTCCAGTATTAGACCCCGTGATGGTACAGCCTTTTGGAAATGTCACAGAAAATGGTTGAATTTCATCATCATCAAGAAGCTTGGCTGTAGGAACCTGGAAATGTACTGTTGAATTTCTATTTAAAATGAAAAAAAATGTTAGCCCAAAATACCAGCAAGTAATTGAAATTAGATGAATCATCTAAAAAAGTCAGAACAATAAATATTTGCAGTAATGTCTTAATCATAAATTTTTGGTAACATGTTAATTTAACTACGTCAAGAGCCAGTTGAGATGATCTAATCTTTCTTCTGTTCTGTAAGAGTCAAAAAGAAAAATAAAAGCTGGGTGTTGGTGGTGATTGCTTGTAATTGCTTGTGGATTGCAGTTCGAAGCCAGCCAGGGGGAAATGGTCTGAGACTCTTACCTCCAATTAACCACCTGAAAACTGGAAATGGAGCTGTGGCTCAAAGTGGTAGAGTGCTAGCCTTGAGAACAACAACAACAAAAAGCTCTGTGGAATTCCAAGACCTCAGTTCAAGACCCATGGCTGATGAGGGGGGATAAAAATATGATTAAACACACTTAAAAAAATCATAGTACTGGGCTTTGAATCCAAGACCTTGTGCTTGGTAGGTAAGTCCTCTAATACTTGAGCCATGCCCCAATCACTTACAACGTGTTTTTAATTATAGCCATAGTATTCTGAAATAGTCTGACAAGAATTTATCAAAAACTCATGACTTTAATATCTACAAATTTAGTGTTTGTATACTAAATATTAATAGATGCACATATATTTAGAATTGTAATGGTTTAGATATTAAGTATTTGGATGCTTAAACAATAAATAATTTTACATAATTCTCAAATATCCGATTAATATCCACATTTCATGCTATTCAAAAACATTCATTAGAGAAAAGATAGCTTCTTTAACAAATGGTTGTAGGAAAATTGGATATCTACATGCAGAAGACTGAAACTAGACACCTTTCTCTGATCCTGTACTACTGTCAAGAATCTTAATGTAAGATCTGAAACTTTGAAACTACTACAGGAAAGAATAGGGAAAACTTCTAGAACATATTGGCATACACAATAGCCTATGAATAGAACTACAATGTCTCTGAAATAAGGATTGATTGACATATGGGATTGTATTAAACTAAAATGCTTCTCCACAACAATGGAAACAGTTACTAGAATGTAGAGATAGCATACAGAATGCAAGAAAATATTGGTTAGATATACATCTGACAAGGGATTAAAAACTAGAATATATAAGGAACTCAAAAAGCTAAACTCCAAAGAGAAAATTACCCACTTAACAAATAAGTAAACGAATGTACGACTCTCAAAAGAAGTCCTAATTGTCAATAAACACATGAAGAAATGATCAGCATTTCTAGCCATAAAAGAAATGCAAATCAGAATGACATTTTGATTTGCTCTCATCCCAATCAGAACAGCAGTCACTAAAAACACAACAATAAATGCTGGTAAGAATGAGAAGAAAGAAGCAACTCTTACACACAATTGGTGAGAATGTAATTAGTGCAGCTACTATAGAATGTAGTATGAAGATTCCTCAAATACTAAAAGTAAAATTGCCATACAACATGACAGTACAACTGTTGGGCATATATCTGAAGGAATTTAAGTTAGGATATAATAAAGACATTTGCACATTCATGTTTATTACAGCACTACTTACAATAACCAAGCTATGGAATCAGCTTCGGTACCCTTCAACTGATGAATGGATAAAGATAATGTGGTATACAAACCAAAAGAGGATTATTCATCCATAAAGAATTTTTTAAATATTATGACATTTTCAGGTAAATGGATAGGACTGGAGTTCATTTTAAATGAAGTTAAGCCAAGTCCTAAAGGACAAAGATTGCAAATGTTCTCTCATATGCAAGCTCTAGACCTAAAATACATATAGATATACACATATCTATCTAGCCATCTGTCTGTCTGTCTGTCTATCTATATGACTGTAATTAAGGAACTATCTAAGTGGTGGGAAAGAAAGGGAAAGAGAAGAGTGGGATAAACAAAACCAAAAGCCATTGTTTTTATGTGTGGAGATGGTACAGGCAACCTAATCTAAATTGTTGAACAATAGGGGTTAAGGGAAACAGGGAAAGGACAGAGTAACAGAAAGGGTTAATATAGTCATTGTGTAATATTGTGCATATGTGACATAGTGTGGTGAATCACTCTTGAACACAAAAATTTGACAAAATAGTTTTACATGTCCTACCATGTTTAAATTCCATTCACAAATCTTTCCTTGTGAGATAAGTATTCTTTTAATGAACATTTCTATTAATTTATCCTGTTGTCAGCCATTTGTTTTCAGATTAGGTCTTTCTATGCAACCCCAAACTTAGGATCTTCCTGAGTAATTAGGATTACAGGCATGCAACACTGTTCTCAAGTACAAATATGTTTCAAATTTATAACAATCAATTTTATTGTTACCAATTTATGAAATCCACCCTTCTAGCAGTTTAAAGTATTTTGTGTTTTTCTTTTTTGTAATTTGCTCAAAAATTGGAAGATAAATTTTCATGTTGTATGAAATATCAAATGTATGCTTTAAGACCAATATGTGGTAATGTGACTTATTTAATGCTTGCTTATTATTCCACAGAGACACACAAGAAAACACATTATGATACAACTGAAATAGTTTTTTGTTATTTCAAACCCTTAATGCATCATTAAATATATGAATAGCTCTTGCTAACTATAGAAACAAATCAAAATTTACATATAACTCTCATATACATTCACACCAAGAAAATTGTGCATATGATAGACTAAAATCTAATGAAGTATTTACCTAAAATAGTTTTGAGGTAAAATGTTGATATCTATTCCACTTGGTACATCCAATGGAACAGGAGTAAAAAATATAAATGGTGGTTCAAAACATAGCTTAGGTGATTTTATCTCTCCATGCAGACATATTAAACGATAGTAAAACAAGCAATCATTTAAACACATAGGAATGTCGGCTCTGTATATTCCAGGCTTCTCTAATAAGAAAAAGTGTGTTAGATTGGTTAGCACACAAAAATATATAGTCTTAACATTGATAAATATTCAAATGTTTTATAATGCTTCCAACTCAATGGAGCAGAATGATTGAACCAGAAAAAAGATTGAATCTACTTAAGAATTTAAGACACTGTTTTTGATTTTGGTACCCTGTGTCTTGCATATACAAGGGAAGGGGAAAATGGTGAGACAAAGGACAAAGAGTGAACCAATGCAACAGCAATACTCACAAGACACTATATTGGAAATGAACTTTACAACTTGGAGGGGTGGGGAGAATCAGGGAAAGAGAAAGTAGGTGAAAAACAAAGGGGTTAACAATGTTTGACAAGAAATGTACTCATTACCTTATGTATGTAACTGTAACCCCTCTGTACATCACCTTTACAATAAAATTAAATTTAAAATGAAAGAATTTAAGACCCAATAAAGTATTTTTGAAAGAGCACCCTGCAAAGTGTATTTTATTACAAATGGAGTAACTTCTGTGAAAGACTTTCACTAGTTGTGTGAAATAAATATCCTTGAGGAAGCAGTACAACAGGACTTCTTTTTTTTTTAAAGTTGATTTATTTTATTTTTTATTTATACTGCACAGAGGGGTTACAATTACATGGGCAAGATAATGAGTACATTTCTTATCAAGCATTGTAGCCTCCTCCTTTGTGTCCCCTTCCCATCCCTTTCCATCCTCCCCTCACCCCACCCCCACCCAATCCTCCCTGCTCCCCCTTCCCCCCCCCCACCCCCCCCACCCCAGCACCAAAGTTGTAAAGTTTGTTTTCAACATAACGACTTGTACATCACATTGGTGCAATGGGTCCACCTGTATCCCTATTTAAACGATTTTTCCCCCCTTCCCTTCCACAAATTATACTGACATCAAATACAGTGAAAGCAGGGGTTATACTGTGGGGGAGGGACATACAAAGCAACAAAGAAATAATCTTATAAATGTGTTAGAAACAATTGCATGAAAGAAAAAAACATTTAAATACATATCTTAGGGTTCATTTCCCTAACATCACTTTATCTGACCTTTTTTGCTTGACTCAGACATATACTAGATATTGTAAATAATGGAAACCATGTGACCTATGTTTCTTTGGACCTGGCTTACATAAATAAGTGGGCTAAAGATTTAAAGAGAAACTTCTGTGAAGAGGAAAGAAGGATGGCCAATAGACACATGAAGAAATGCTCAACCTCCTTAGCCATAAAAGAAATGCAAATCAAAACAACATTGAGATACCACCTCACCCCAGTTAGAATGGCTAAAATCAAGAACTCTAATAACAACAGATGCTAGAAGGGATGTGGACAGAAGGGAACCTTACTGCATTGTTGGTGGGAGTGTAAACTTGTTCAACCACTTTGGAAAGCAGTATGGAGGGTCCTCAAAAGACTCCACATAGAGCTCCCCAATGACCCAGCAATCCCACTTTTGGGCATTTACCCAAATGATCACAAACAAGGCCACACTAAAGCTACCAGCACAACTATGTTTATTGCAGCATTATTTACCATAGCTAAGACATGGAACCAACCCAGATGCCCCTCAGTAGATGAATGGATCAAGAAGATGTGGTATATATACACAATGGAATTCTATGCCTCCATCAGAAAGAATGACATTTCCCCATTTGTTAGGAAATGGAAAGGCTTGGAAAAAATTATATTAAGTGAAGTAAGCCAGGCCCAAAGAAACATAGGTCCCATGGTTTCCCTTATTTGCAATATCTAGTATAGGTATGAGTCAAGTGGAAAAAGTCAGATAATGTGATGTTAGGAAAACGAAACCTCAAATATGTATTTTAATGTTTTTGTTTCTTTCATGCATGCGTTTCTAACGCATTTATAAGATTATTTCTTTGTTGCTTTGTATGTCCCTCCCCCACAGTGTAACCCCCGCTTTCACTATATTTGATGTCAGTATAACATGTGGAGGAGATGGGGACAAACAAGTCGTTTAAGGATTCAGGTGGACCTGTTGCAACAATGAGAAGTACAAAATGTCATGTCAAAACCAGCTTTACAATGTCGGTGGGGGGGGGGGTGGGGGGGTATGATTGGGTGGGAGGGAGGGGGGAGGCTGGGAAGGGAGGTGAAGGGTAAACAGAGGAGGAGGCTGCAATGCTTGGTAAGAAATGTATGCATTATCCTGCCCATGTAATTGTAACCCCTCTGTACAGTATGTTCTCAAATAAAATTTAAAAAAAAAAAAAAGACTCCACATAGAGCTCCCCTAGGACCCAGCAATCCCACTTTTGGGCATTTACCCAAATGTTTACAAACAAGATCACACTAAAGCTACCAGCACGACTATGTTTATTGCAGCACTATTTACTATAGCTAAGATATGGAACCAACCCAGATGCCCCTCAGTAGATGAATGGATCAAGAAAATGTGTTCTCTATACACAATGGAATTCTATGTCTCCATCAGAAAGAATGACATTGCCCCATTTGTTAGGAAATGGAAAGACTTGGAAAAAAAGGACTTTTGTAAAAAAAATATATTGTTATTGTAAAAGGTGATGTTTAGAGGGGTTACAGTTACATAAGTCAGGTAAAGAGTACATTTCTTTTTGGACCATATCACCCCTTCCATCTCTCTCCCAGTTTTCCCTTTTGTCCCCACCCACAAATTGTATGATTCATTTTCAACATAGTGTCTATTGAGAATCACTGCTGCATTTGTTCACCCTTTGTCTCACCATTTTATGCCCCCTATACCTTCCCAAGGACAGATAAACAAGATAAAGAAAAATGAAAACAAACAAAAAAGCAACAAAGGAAAAAACCTCTTGCTCCCATTTCTTGGAGTTCATTTCAATAATAATTTATAAAATCAGATGCACACAGAGGACTTCTTCTTTAAAGTTGTTTTCTGACTATATTAATTTTAGTATGGGCAGAATGAAAATGAGGTCAGGCAACTGCCTTGAGGCTCCAAAGGGATTACTGAGAAAAGAATATGCTAAGATTAAAGAAAAGGGCTATCTTCTCCCAAAATTTTTAGATTAGGTAAGATTGCCAGGATTGATTGACTGGCCAATTTCATCTGTTAAGGAAAGACAAGAAGTTCCCATGTGGCTATTTACTATGTGTTAGGGACTAAAGTTCAATATAGGATCCTGCAACATAATTCCTGAAAACGGGGCATAACAGACACTGGTCAAGGCCCTTTTAAACCTGAATCGCCAATGCAAATGTCTCATAGAGAGAAATATGGTTGCTTGGTTAGTGTAAATTCAAGTTTCTATCTTAGAATCTACAAAATCTACACCAGTGTGGCCCTGTAGGAATTGAGGCTACCTATGGTATCATCAGAAAAAAGGATTACAGTATTATGGGTTATGGATTATGCATGATCATGCTCCTAAGTGAAAGCTTGAGCCAGATAGAAAAGCAATAGACGTATTAAACCAACTGTTTCTCTCTGTACCGGAAGCTTTACTTAACAAAATGAGCTTATTAGATGATCAGTCTGTGATCATTGGGAAAAGAGGGATGTTTGAACAAGCAAAGAGAAAATGAATGGAGGAAATAATGGGCTTCATATTAACAATTACAAATTAGAATTGGGAAGACTATATGAAAAATGAGAAATCTTATCTGTACCTTCAGCTGACAAAATGACTTTAAAATATGCAGAATTTTTAAATACACAATAAAATGATTTAATATAGGAATAATAAATCAATTTAAATGCAAAATTTAAGAGAAAAATACTTACTTGGACAGAACTGTACCGTTATACTACACTTTTCGCCTGGCTGCAGATTCCCAATCAGTCTACTAAGATGAAATATGCCTTCTTTAAAAAGACTGGCACTATTAGTAGGATCCATAGACCAATATACAATATTTTTGGAAATATTTTGTAAGACAAGAGTCTGTATATGTATACACAAAAAAGAAATATTTTAAAAATAGCAAGTGCAATATAAAATTTAGTTGTATCATCATATCAAGTTGATGGACTTATGCACACAGTTAAATGATTAAAAATGGTATGCTTAGATTAAAAGCTTTCAAAGTCATATCAGGCCAACAAAGGGGTATGAAAATATGTTCACAGTAATGTAAGCAATTGTGAAAAGTATATAAAACACATTAACTGAGGTAATATATATACATATACATACATGCATATATATATATATATATATATATATATATATATATATATATATACCTTTGCCAATCATAAGAATGAAGAGTAACAATAGACATCATTTTCAATGGTGATAATGAAAAATCCTTCAGTTTGGAAAATAGTTCTTTACAGGACTAATTATGTACCTATCATTTAATCCTATAATTCTAATCATACTTATTTACTTGAGTGAGTTCATCATTTATGTTTACATGAAAACTTTTATGTGAATTGTTATAATAGTTAACTTCATATTCACCAAACAATAGGATTTTAAAAATGAACAATATTTCCTTCAACCAATATATAGATAAACTATAGTGCATCCACACAATTGAATGAAGGGCAACAATAAAATAGATGAAATACTAAGTAATGTAAAACATAGATGGACATTGAATATATATTTAGAGTTCTCAGATCAAGATAATTATAATAAAATTTATCTATCATTGTGGAAGTGAAAGAAAATATCATTGCCAAATGTAAATTCAAAGAAGGACCAGTTTTGGCCACCAAGAGGCCCGTGGAGTGTTTAGATGTTGACACTGTTTTGCATTGTACTAAGAAAATAGATATATCAATCCCTGTATTTAAGTAAACTACATGTAAACTTACATCATCTCTGTGAATCAGAAACAATAAATAAAGGTAGTACAAACTGCAGACTGTGACACACTCCATTCCACAATATGTATAAAGTAGCCTCATTCAAATTAGAGGTAAGTACATACACTGAACATTAACTAATACATGTGTTACTGTTACTAACAGCAATTCTGCAATTTCTTTAATGTGATACTGGGACACAAAGTAAGTAAATAACTTATAATTAGTCATGGGCAGATTTATCATTGTCAAGTAAAGAAGTTTAAAAAATGGGTAAAGGAAGAAGTGTGAAATAAAACATCTTGTGATCGATTATAGGTGTGTGTGTGTGTGTGTGTGTGTGTGTGTGTGTGTGTGTGTGTGCGCATGGGTTAGCATACATCTGTTTTCCTGGCACTATTTACTGTTGGCCTACCCATGATACTCAGTAACAGCTAGTATTTCCAACACTTAGATTTTGGTTCTTAAACATCAGGTATTGAAATTTCTTGAAGCTCTATCCCTAGAACTGGGGCAAATCAAATAATAGGTAAGCACAGAACATTTGATCTTGCTAGTAAATAAGAATAAATTACAATAGTATGAGAAAAGGTCAAAGGGCAATTTAAAAGAGCTTATTAACAATGAAATATTAAATTTTAACAAAAAGTATAGTTGAGCACTAGTGGTTCATGCTTGTAATTATCACTACTCAGAAGGCTGAGATCTAAGGATTTCTGTTTGAACCCAGCCCAGGCTGCAATTAGCCAACAAAAAATCTCAGAAGACTAGAGCTGTGATTCAAGTGGTAGAGTGCCAGCCTTGAGAAATAAACCTAAGGGACACCACCCATGCCCTGAGTTCAAGCCACACAACAGTCACAAAAAAATGTACAAAATTAAGTTTACAGCTGAGCTCTTAGTAAATAATAAAATTAATAAATAGGAGGAGGGAATACTTTTGTCACTGAAAATTTCAAATAAAATGTATGTAAATGTCTCTAAAAGCTCCCTGTTCCTTGAGAATGGGCTGAAGTTAATGTCAAAATGCAGAGGATGAACAAGGAAAAACAATTTTGAAGTAAAAATTCGTAGGATGTATCACCAATGATGAGTGATTTTGGTGTCATGTACTTATTTCATGTGATAAAATGGACATTTAACGACTTGACTTTTATTTCTGAAACACAGTTACCTTATAATTTCTTATAATTATATAAATATAATTCATGGGAGATGCAAATAGTGTAGTAAAATGAGATTTCCTTCTCCAGGGAGCTGATGTGGCTCATTTGTCATTCAGAAAAACACATGTATTAGAGTTTAGATTCTTTCTACTTATATGAACTGAATGAATTTTGAATGATGTAAAATCTCATATTTAAGAAGAAAATTTTCCAATTCTGGAATTCAGTTCAATTCAGTTCACTAATGTTTCATCTTCAGTGCCACATACAAAGTAATTTTTTATTTTTTGAACTTTTATTAGAATAAGGTGAATTGATGTATATTTGCAAAATATACATACATATACATATAGTGATGATTACAAGGCATGAGCCACTAGTGCCCAACTATACTCTATATTTTAATTTCAAAAGATTATTTGTCTATCTCTAACTATAATAACATTAAGTATTTTATCCATGTAATTTCTTTTTAGCAACACAAAGATTCATAATTGGTTGTAAATATAACAATGCTCTTAGGCATAAAAGGGACAGTACAAATTCAAATTCCTTTAATGTGTATACCTCATATGCCTCTCTTAATTATAAGAAAAAAGAGATACAGAGAAAGTCAAATAAAATCAACTAATATAAAATTTTCTGTTATATATGTGGATTTTCACATATTTAGTTAAGGAGAAATTATTCATAGGGAATAAATCAAGCCACTAATGCTTTAGAATAACCAACTAAGTCAACTAAAATCTATAGCTATATGAAAACCATACTTATAAAACCCGTGGTAAAATATAGCAATTCTCTATACATACCTTTGTTCTTGTGATGTTTACATTAGATTCCATCTCATATAAAGGAATATTAAATATAAATGCAGTATTTGATAAGTATATTGGTGCATATAATACTTCAAAAGAGAAATAAAGAAAAACATGATATAAGCTCATAGATACTTTTACTTATGAAATAAGAAAATGAGATATATTTCTGTTTTATATTCCCAGCCAGAAAATAAAATTACAATCTAAAATATTTTATATATATTGACTTTTTATATATGAAAGTAAATTTTGCAATAATTTTAATGGTAATAAATGACAAGTAAAATAAGAAAATAACTATTGACATATAAATATAAAATATACTGAATATTAAGATAAGCAAAAGCAAATCAAACTAAAATTATGTCTATACTAAAACTTAACTAATGAAGAAACAAACAGAAATGAAGAACAATTTATTGGAATTTGTTGAAATGGATAGATGACATATTAAATAACATTGCCTAGACAAACTAACACTTTTCTAGGAGTAAATGCAATTTTGTGAGACTATAGAAATAAATCACTTAATGCATTACAAAGGCCACTGTTCCTTGTTGGAAAACCTATAGGTTTTGAAATTTTCCTGAGATATTTGAATTTTTAATGGAAACTGTAGGATCTAATTAGCTTTTGGGAAAACAAGTATATGTGAACAAAATATCCAGTCCTAAAATCATAGGTATCTTTTTTTTTTTTTTTGGTTCTGGTCGTGGGGCCTGAACTCTGGACCTGGGCGCTGTCCCTCAGCTCTTCAGCTCAAGGCTAGCGCTCTACCACTTGAGCCACAGCACCACTTCTGGCTTTTTTCTTTTTGCTTATGTGGTGCTGGGAATCGAACCCAGGGTCTCAGGCATGCAAAGCAAGCGCTCTTACCACTGAGTCACCTTCCCAGCCCCAATCATAGGTATCTTAAGTACGCTTTTATTGCATGGCTAACATTAGTAGATGTTTAGGTTAAGACTTGTAGAAGAGAAGAAACTTGTAAATGATGTTCAACATTATGTTACATGCAATATTGTCATGAGAAATCCTGAGAAAAGCTGGCAGATGTGCAGAAAGTAGTACATGTAATATCTATTTTATATTTGCAATTTGAATATATTTGGTTATATAGAAGATAACCAGAAAAATAATAGGTTTACTTCAATATTGTAAAAAAAATATTTTGGCATTTTAATTTGTCATGCACACAACCTTATGGCATTAAGCAAAGTAGTAATCTTCTCTTTAACACTGATTAGTATTATTAGAGAGCTATTTATTCTCTTAAGAATCTGAATTGCTTTTTAAATGTTTTAAAGATTTACAGCCTAAAATTTCAAATGATCATTATTCCCATTCATTGGTATGCTAACTTCCACACAAAAATACAATATTTGGAGATTATTATAAAATGAAAGGACAAAGGTCAATAGAAATCAAAAAAACTACTACAAAACAAGAATCTTAAGAGAAAAACTCTCCAAAGAGAGATAAAATAGTTAATATAAGAAAATGTCAAAGAAATCACAAGATAAAGAGAAAATGGTTTCTTTCCACAAAAACACTCTTTGTAACTAAAGAAATAATCCAGTGGGCCCTGGTGGCTAATGCCTGTAATCTTAGGTACTCAAGACGCTGAGATTTGAAGATCACAATTCAAAGCCAACCGGAGCAGTAAAAGTTGGTGAGACTCTTATTTACAAAAACTGCTCAGAGAAATCCGGAAGTGGTGCTGTGGCTCAAGTGGTAGTGTGCTAGTCCCAGGACTGACAAATCATCATCATCATCATCATCATCATCATCATCATCATCATCATCATCGTCCAAAAGTATTAAGAACTCTTTCTAGTTTAAAATTGCCAAAAGTGCCAGGCACTCATGTAATTCTAGATACTCAGGAGGCTGAGATTTAATGACCACAGTGCGAAGCCAGCCTGGTAGGAAAGGATGTGAGACTCTTATCTCCACTAAACTGACAAAAAGTCTGGAAGTGTAGCTGTGGCTCACATGGTAGAACACTAGCCTTGAGCAAAAAAGCTCAGGGAATAGCGCTCAGGCCCAGAGTTCAAACCCTAAGACTAGTACAAAAAAATTGCCAAAAGTGTAAATATTGGTAACCACTCCTTAAATTTTTGTTTCTAAGACCTCTGAAAGAGGAAAATATTATAATTTTTTTTGGGTCCGGTTGTGGGGCCTGAACTCTGGGCCTGGGCGCTGTCCCTCAGCTCTTCAGCTCAAGGCTAGTGCTCTACCAACTTGAGCCACAGCGCCACTTCCGGCATTTTTTCTTTTTGCTTATGTGTAGCTGAGGAATCGAACCCAGGGCCTCATGTATGCAAGGCAAGCGCTCTACCACTGAGCCACCTTCCCAGCCCAAATATTATAATTTTTAAGTAACACTAGGAAGCACTGAGGAAAAGAGAGACTTTATTATAAAATTAATGAACAGGATTATTAAAGATTAATAAACCTGAAAGAAACAAATATTTTTAAATATAAAAATTAACATAGGTAAGCATAAAAATGATCTATCTAATTGACAAACTACAATTAGACAATATTTTTTTATTTTTGAAAAACAAGGTTTCTTTAAATTAAATTAAGTTGAACTTCGAAGAACCCCCATTACAGCTACATCATTATTAATCTAGATCATAAACAAAAATTAAATAAATTTCTACCATAACATGCTATTTTAGTCAGACCCAACTCACTTACTGCCATTCACGTTCATTAACTAATATGATGCACATCACTTATATGTAATGAAAATATAACTCAATATCAGAAGTACAAATACAAAATTTAGACTGACTTTTCATTAAAATATTTATGCATATATAATAACAAAGATAAAGCTTGTCAACAGTATAGTTTGCAGAGTATAGAGATCTTATTCTTGAATATTTGGAGAAACTAAGCAGATAAATATTCAACAAGTAATTCAAAATCTTAACATTTTAAATCTTTAGGCGTACTTAGTCCATTAATATGCATGGCTATATAGTAAATGTACTTTTTGAGATAAAATTGTCATTGCTTTAATTTTATTTTTAATTCATTTTATTTCAATAAGATATTTTGCCTTAATTTTAAAACTTTCCATATAGTAAAACACTACATGGACCTGTTTTCAATTCTTTCCTAATTTTATTAGTAAGTCACCTGTGAATATATGTGCTATGAATCAAGACTCCATCTCATAGAATAACAGAATAACAATTTAAGTGAGATAAAAGGAATCATATACTTTTACTAATATTTATCTTTTTGAAACATAATTGTCATACTCACATCTAACTTTATAGATGCTTAAATGTAAATTTTCAGCTTACCCCCTTCAATTACTGCTTCCAATTGCATACATACCAGTAGCTTGAACATGACAAGGTGGGATTAGAGGTGTTGATTTTGGCACCAGAGGAATATTCTTCGAAATATGTTCAGTATAAAGTTCTGAAGCTTTGAAGGAATTCACAACAACTTGAACAGTGAAGTCATATGTTGCAACCTGACAAATACACATATTACTTGTGACTGTTTGCTTCCAAAAATATTACTTGGGTGAAAAAAGTATAAGAAATTTTCAAAATAAAATTAGCATTTGACAGTAAAATTACATTATATTTGATATTATTAAAAATTGACAAGCAATAAAAATAAAAACTATATTTATTTAATAATTACAAGAATTTCTTAAACAGAAGTAACAACAGTAAGGGCTGATAAAGTTATGAGTATCTAGTACTTTTGTGTATTCTTGATAGGAAACAAATATTTTACAGTAATGCCAGAAACTTTCCCATTTCTTAGAAGTTAAATATATACTTTATATAAAATCCAGAATTTCCATGGATACAAGATATCTTTTCTTTTATTTACATCTCTTATAATTCATTTCATCAATGTTTTGTAGTGTTTTAAAAATCATTAACATAGCTATTTATTGTCATTACCAAGTATTATGTACAAATGTAGTTGCTTTGGTGTATGAGTGTTTCACTCTTTGGTTAAGTTTATTATAAGAAATTATTCTTTATATTATTGGACACTGTTGTGGAGATAAGTCCCTACTACTAGAAGGTACTATTGTTGTATGCTATGGAACAATAACTTCCAGGCTGAGCTTTGCTTTGAGTGACTCCATTTTATAAAACTAGTTTTTATCCATTTTGAGTGTAAATGCTTAGGTAAATGACTCCATCTTATTTGTGCAAGTAAATGACCACCATCTTACTTGCCCACAACATGAAGTATTGATTGATAAGTAACTTACACAAATAAAATATTACCATCTATTTTGAACTTATAAAATTAAATCAGAAACACTTGTACCCATGAGTGTATCACCCTCATACCAGAAAAACCAGACCCATGAGTTTATTAAACACACTATGCTAAGGAATGTTACAATTCCATCTCCTGAATGATATAAAAAAGGGGCTCTTTTACAGTAGCATCGATAGACCTATTATTAGACCACTTGTCATGAGAACATTTGTCAGGAAATAAACTCCCAATTTTGTTCCCAAAGCTTCAGCTCAGCAAGATTCCTCCTACTTCATGTGGCTCATCATTTATCCATATCTAGTGAACCGTGAGCCAATTCTCCACCTTGAACCAGCTATGAGCTTTTACATCCTTTATTAATCAGCACATCTCTGGGCTAGGTTTTATATTAATACTTTATTTAATCACTTACAATGACAGTTTCTGCATCTGTATCAGCTCTCTGTCTTTTGCCTTTGCCTTCAGTAAAACCTATTTGAAAATTATGGCCGTTTAACCTTCTCTTGGCCATTTTCTTGCCTATATACCATTGTGTGAAGTGGCATATATGATTGTCAGTATTTGCAATTAAGATTTTTTTTTCAGTCATGGGACTTGAACTCTGGGCCCAGGTGCTGTCCCTGAGTTCTGTAGCTCAAGGCAAGTGCTACTATTTGAGCCACTGTGCCACTCCTGGTTTTCTTGTGGCTAATTGGAAATAAGAGTCTCACGGAGTTTCCTGCCTGGGCTGGCTTTGAACCACCAGCCTCAGATCTCAGCTAGGATTACATGTGTGAGCCACTGGCGCCTGGCAGTAATTAAGATTATAATGAAATAAAAGGATCTGTGTTTGCCAATGGCATAAGTATTAAGTGTGTATGTATGAAAATTCCAAAATGAAGCTTATTATTTTGTATTAATTTGCTAAGGAAGAAAGAATACCTAGTGACTTAACAGCAAAACTTTGGTATAGCTTGGGAATTTATTATCATTTAATATATGGAAAATTTTAAATGTGTTCAAGTAGCAGACATTGTTTTCTCACAACAAAGAAATTATTTTTAAATTTTATTTTAAATGTTTCATTGTTAATGAATAGAAACATAAATGATTATTAAATGTTGACTTTTTTCACCCTCTGTCCCTCCATTTCTGGGCCTAACCTTACACTCCCAAAGACATATAAAATGTTGACTTTTGAATCTTACAATTTTTCTGAATGTATTAATATCTCATAGTTTTGGTAGAGATCCTCATTGGTGTTTTTGTCACGTTTGAACACTGTACAGAATGATTAGACAAGAAAAAGAATGAATGAAATCTTAATTAGAAAGGGAGCAACTGTGCCTCTTTCAGATACATGGTCCCATACATAGTGAACCCTAAATAGTACACACACACATGCGCACAGACACACACACACAGACACACACACACACACACACACACACACACACACTATTTTCTTATGCATCTTTGGTGTATTTATAGAGGTGAGCAGAAGTAAGAATAATAGCACTCAAACATAATAAAAGATTTCAAGATCATAACAACGATAGTTTCAGAGATACATAGATCTAGTAATAAGACCTGTTGAAAATAAGAGAAGTTTTAAGTGAAATGGAGAACTACATGATATAAAGAATACATTTTCTGTTCTGCTCTAGTGATTTGTATTGCTCTGCTCTGCAAACGCTGGGTTTTCATTTTGTTTTTGTTTAACTTTAGCTGTCCATGCTGCTGCCAATCCGATCTCCTGTCATGGAATCTTATGTAAACAAGTTTGTTCCCACAACAGAATTACAGAAACATAAAATACTGAAGCATGTGTGTTTTTAATGGCCATTTCATTTCTTTGACAAAACAGAGCAAGCAACTCATGATGATCTATTTCTACAGCAGCACAAGCAAATAGACATCAAGGAATAAATGGCTTAAAGATGTTGTCTTTTTGTACAAATACAACTTGTCTTGATAACATATTCATAAAGAAAAATACAAATACACTTGTTACAGTGCATACATTGTGCTCCAATAATATCTTGCTATAGATACCAAAATCAGAGAATCCTCAAATGCCTTATATAAAAGTGGTATAGTTTTAAATTTCCTATATATGGTATATCTAGACCACTCATAACACCTAAAAAATAAAAACTATTTAAGTAGTTGTTCTTTTTAGAGAAGAATAAGTAATAAAGTGTGCACACTTTTTTTCCAAAGTCTTTCAATCTGTGGTCGTTTCAATGTTAATATGGAATCTTTGGACATATTAGGCTGACTGTATATTACTTTCAGAATACAATTTTATATTTAAAGTTTTTCATACACTGTGGATTTATATCCATATTTTAATGCCAAATACTATTCAGAAGCCCAAACTTTAATTCTTCAATGACTGTTGGAAATGGCTTCTTAATAGAAGAAGGGAAATGGAAGCGAGATTAATGGAAACTGGTGATTCTTGGGGTGGGAAAAATAAGCAGCAGGAAAAGGGGAAAGGAAAGGACAACAGAGAGTGAATACTGTATAATTCCATTATGTGTATATGAAATAAGCACAATGAAACTCACCAAAAACTATTTTTAAAAAGAGTTTCCAAAAAGAGCAATGGAAAAAGTTATTTAGCTAGGCACCAGTGGCTCATGCCTGTAATCCTTGCTTCTCTGGAGGCTGAAATTTGAGGATTGCAGTTCAAAGACAGCACTAGCAGGAAGGTCTGTGAGACTCTTATCTCCAATTAACAATAAAAAAAAACAGAGTGGCTCTCTGGCTCAAGTGGTAGAGCACTAGCCTTGAGTACAAAAGCTGAGGGACAGCACCCAAGCCTTGAGTTCAAGCCCAGGTCCAGCACTAAAAAACAGAATAATATAGATAGGATGAATCTGATCAAAGTACATTATAAACGTATTATAAATATCAGAATGCAACCCTTTTGCACAATTAATTTATGCTAATATAAAAGATAGGGAAAAAAGCCTAAAAGGCTAGGGTTGTGGATGGATACTGAAGTCACTCAAGAAATGAGAATACAAGGGTGAAAGTATGAGCTTGGCTTGTGATGACAAAGAGCATATTTTGAGGGGATTGTTCTGCCTAATGGATGTGGTACACTTATATAATATTAAATTAAAGTAACAAGAATTTGCAATAAATTCAAGCAAAATCAATCCAGTTTGGAGGATTCAAGACCCAGACCATAAGCCGTAGAAAAGTCTAAGGAAAGGGAAAAAATCGTCTTGAGATAAGCATGTTCCTTATAAGAAGTCCCTGGAAGGAAAGGAACCCCAGAATCCATAGAGGAATTATGGAAATATAAGAACATATACAGTAGAGAGGAAGGAAGGGGAGAAAAGCAAGATGTGAGGGGAGTAGGAACTGATAGGAATGATAATAATTCATAAGTATGTTTCTATGAAGAAGACTGAAATCAACAATCTGAGTCATGATAGGGTAAGTTATGACAAATATGCAATATTGAATCTTTTTTTTTTTTTTTTTGGGTCCAGTCCTGGGGCCTGAACTCTGGGCCTGGGCGCTGTCCCTCAGCTCTTCAGCTCAAGGCTAGCGCTCTACCACTTGAGCCACAGCGCCACTTCCGGCTTTTTTCTTTTTGCTTATGTGTTGCTGAGGAATCGAACCCAGGGCCTCAGGCATGCAAGGCAAGCGCTCTACCACTGAGCCACCTTCCCAGCCCGCAATATTGAATCTTGACTAATCTTGTTACTAAAAATTCACTATCAAAGATGATACAGTACTATTGTATTTATTGCTTTCATTTAATCAATGCTAGTTAAGCACAAAACATCATTTTAACTATATTGAACATGTGTGTGTGTGTTTGTGTGTTAAGATATACATCTTGTACTCTGTTATATAGAAGTTTGATAGAAAGAAGAACTTTCTCTGGCATTTCTATTTAGAAATTCTGGAGCAAAAGCATTGCAGAGTTCATTTCTGAAATGTAGCACGTGGTATCTCTTCCTTCTGAGCACATTCTGGAAGAAGGTTTTCTTTTTGTTTGCTTTTTTTTGCCATTTACAAAATCAATAAAAAAGCAAGGGTTGCTTAGATCATCATTAAACAACAAAAGGACATTATAAAAGAAATCACTATTATAGGAACACCTCTTGAATGCTCTCAGGAAGTCCTCAGCAATTTCAGACAGTAATTATAAGAGTATTAAGCATGTACAATACCAATTTAAGTGCAAAACAAGTGTTTGCAAAACTATAAGTGATTTTTCATTTCACTTAAAATTTCCTCTACTTTGTAACATATCATTCTTCAATTTTCTAGAGAATTGAATTTTTTCTAGAGTATATAGCATCTCCTGAGACATTCTGCATACATGAACCATATATAACTAATTGTTTGCTAAATTAAAAGTCTACCCAGCCATGGTTGCTAAATTGAACAACCCACTACACTAGAATATAGGTGATCTTTGAATTGTTTGCAATTCTACTACTTTCCTGTAATATGAATAATAGAAAATGGAACTTACTTCTGTGGGAGAAAACACTATGCCACATTCTAAAGATGACATTTCCTCTACTTCAAAAGTATATATACAAGAAGTATCCGGGTATATAATTTCTCCTATAAAACAGGAAACCTACATTTAAAATGTATACCAGCATTTTTAATGTGCAACTATGAACATTGGGAAATCTCATTAACTTATTTATAGTAATCAAGAGCAATTATTAGTCAGATGCCAGAGGCTCATGCCTATAATTCTAGCTACTTGGAAGGCTGAGATTGTTGGGATCACAGTTGGAGAAAAAAGCCCACCTGACTCCATTTCAATGACATCTGGATACAGTGGTGCATCCCTGATAGTTCGTAGCTCTCTTAGCTAACAGGAGCCTAACAAAGGTGGACCGGGCCTGGGTAGGAATTGAGAGCTCATCTAAAAAATAATGACCAAAGCACAGAACTACAGGGTGCTCAGTGGTAAGAGTGCCCACTTAGAGAAGCCATATATATATATGTATATATATATATATGTATATGGATGGATTTGAATTGTGATTCTCAGATCACAGTTCTTTAGTAGCCAAGATAATAGGCATGAGCCACTGGCCCCCAGCAACAAAGTCCTATTTTAATCCCCAAAATTGCTAGGGGGAGTAAAGCAACTATTGAAATAACTGATGAAGTTTCCATAATGTTGCAAGTAAACAAGAATTTTTTCTTTTTTTTTTCTTTTTTTGTCGGTCATGGGGCTTGAACTCTGGGCTTGGGCACTGTCCCTCAGCTTTTCAACTCAAGGTGAGCGCTGTACCAGTTGAGCTACAGCGCCACTTCCGGTTTTCTGGTGGTTTATTGGAGACAAGAGTCTCATAGTCTTTCTTGCCCGGGCTGGCTTTGAACCATGATCCTCAGATCTCAGCCTCCTGAATAGCTAGGATTATAGGTGTGAGCCACCAGCGCCCGGCTTTTCTTTTCTTTCCTTTTTTTGTGATCACTTTGGGCTTGAACACAGGGTCTTGGCAGTGTCTCAGACCTTGTGCTTAAGGCTGTCTACCACTTGAGCCACAGCTCCACATCTGGCTTTTTTGTGGTTAATTGGAGGAACTTTCCTGCCAGAGTTGGCTTCAAATCCCATTCCCCAGATCTCAGCCTCCTTAGTAGTTTGGATTACAGGCAGGAACAAGCACGCATTCTTAATACAAAGATTCTAATCAGCAAAACTAATATAGAAATATATAACATACATTTAGTCAGCCCATCAAAGAAAATACATTCATTTTTTAAAACCATTCAAAATTCAATTCTCATTCACATGAATGTGGAAGGAATAAAAGGAAAAGATCAAGTAGCTCAGTGAATCATAGATCCAAGAACAACTGAAAAGATCCCCATGATGCCTAGCTACTCAAGAGGCTGAGATCTAAGAAGCATGGGCCAAAGCCAGCACATGCAAGAAAGTTTATGAGACTCTTATCTCCAATTAACTGGTAGAAAGCTTGAAGTTGAGCTATGGCTCAAATAGTAGAGTGCCAGTCTTCAGCAAAAAAGCTAAGTCACTGAGTTCCAGTTCCAGTAGCCTGACAAATGAAAATTTATAAACATGACAAACATATACCAATAATTTTACTTACCCATCATTTTTTGTTGTGTGACATTTAAAAATTATACTTAGAAATTTTGTCATATTTAATACATTATTCTTAACTATGAATAACCTACTTTGCAACGGACCTCAGGAACACATTATTTAATGATAAAATGAATAAAAACATAAAAACTTTTACATGAAAAATTCTTGACAAAATGAAATCACTGCAAGAACAAAGACATTAGTTAAAAATACAGACAACTTTTCAGAAGTAATACAACCTTGAGGGTTAATTGGGGGTTGTGGCAAATGAATGAAGAGAGGAAGCGGGAAATACCATCATAAAATTCAATGCATATGGGGCTGGGAAGGTGGCTCAGTGGTAGGGCACTTGCCTTGCATTCATGAGGCCCTGGGTTCGATTCCTCAGCACCACGTAAGCAAAAAAGAAAAAATGCCTGAAGTGGCGCTGTGGCTCAAGTGGTAGAACGCTAGCCTTGAGCTGAAGAGCTGAGGGACAGTGCTCAGGTCCAGAGTTCAGGCCCCAAAACCGGACCCTCCCAAAAAAATTCAATGCATATTCATCAAAATTAAGAAAATTGAGGGAAAAGGTCGAGTTGGGAGGGATGGGAAGAATGATGTCAGTGGTGACATTAAGATTCATTGTATTCATATACTAATTATTGAATGAAAACTCTTTTGAACAACTATTAAAGATAAAAATAAAACTCAAAAAAGTTATGATCACTGTAATTCCTAAATGATTAGAAAGTTGCACTGGAAACTGTTTTTATGTAAACAATTCTAAAAATCAAATATTTCCCTAAAGTTATCTGATCAATATGAAAGAATGCTAAATTCTAGTTATTAATGCCTGTTAAAAACTTCATTCACAGGTGAGAAATAATATTACATGATAACAACCAGATTCTTGATGGATCTCTTCTACCATTATAAGTGGACTCCATTTGTCACATAGATCCAACATTCACCTCTGGGATCCTCTCTGTCCTGACTTCTCTATAGGGCAAATCAACCAGGCTGCTTTGCTCCCCTGCCTCTGTGGTTGGGTTACATTATGTGAAACACCAGCAAAACATCACAAATTAGTAGATGAGAGAAATGTCAGATATTTATATGGTCATTCCTACCCTTGGTTGTAGTTCTAACAATGGCTGTATTTCTTAATAGTTGTAGTACTTACCAATTGCCTCCTCTTCCATAGTTGTACCTCCCAATAGGCTCCAATAACTCTTTCCTCTTGATCTTTTGAATATTTTCTAGATTCTTTTAATTCTGTCCTAATCTCCATAATTTATTTCTTTTCTTTCTCCTTCCTTCTTCCTTTTTTTCCTTCTTTCCTTTCTTCCTTCCTTTCTTGTCAGTACCAGGTATTGTATTCAGGGCCTTCCACATGCTGCACAAGTATGCTACCATTTGAACTACGCTATTTTTATTTTATTTGTTGTTTTTATTTGGTTTTTGAAATTAGGTCTCACTAACTTTGCCCAGGCAAGCCTCCTCAAACTTGAGAATCTCCTGACTGTCTCCTAAGTAGCTGGGAGAACAGTGTATACGACCACACCTGGCTTAGATGATTCCTTCACTAAACAACTCAGTTAATCCTTTTGAGTGAGATACTGACTGGTGAACTGTCTATTCACTTTTTAAGGAAATGTATGGTCTTTTATCTTCATAGAGGAAAAGTCTATCCCATAAATATTTAGAACATAATTACAGCTCAAAATATTAACTGAAGAATTGACTAAGCCAATGATCAGAAAACTTTCTACAATGGTCCAAGTGGTAGACATTGTGGACTTTGTGAAACATGTTTTCTACCACAACTGTTCAATTTTGTTATTATAGCACAAAAGTGGCCATAAGCAATATACAAAGGCATCTACATTTTAATTGAACTTGGTTTATAAAAGAAAATTTCCATTCAAATTAGACCATGGACCTTAGTTTGTCAACTACAGATAAAATGTACTCATGCATGTGCATGTTTTGCTTAAGTCTAATATAACATAAAGATTCCTAATACATTAATAAGCATGTAGAAGAAGCTTTTAAAGTCATTAACTAATAATTTTATTTCCATTCTTAGCAGATATTGTATGTAACATACGCAACTTAGTACATGGACTATTAAGTACAATTATATGTCATACATTACCAAAGTACTCTGACAGTGCAATTCATTTAATTCCAGACATAAAACTATGAGTTATAAGGTATAAGAAAAAAACATGCTTTGAATCTTTGAAGTATTTAATAATAGCACTGTCCTCAAGATTATAACTTAAAGCAATTTAAAATTGCTTTGCTTTACAGTAATGCATTATATTGTAATTTGTAATGCTATTATATATAATTTGTAATATATACTATGTACATATATATGTAAAATACATACCTATGTTGTCCGTAGCAATAATTGAAAAACATGGAAATTCTTGTAGATTAAACTCCACTTTAGCAAGTGTAATACCAATGTTTTTTATTACAAATGGAATAATCTGCGTGGTTCCAATATATGCGCCACAGAATTTAAATTCATTCTAAATTTAAAAAATTAGAAAGTACAATCATAAATTATAATGTGAATACTTAAAATTATATTTTAGCTCAGTTGTATGTGTGAATGTGTATGTGTGTGTGTGTGTGTGTGTGTGTGTGTGTGTGTGTGTGTGTACCAGTCATGGGGCCTGAACTCAGGTTCTAGGAGATCACTCAAGGCTATCACTCTACCACTTGAGCTGAACTCCCCTTGTGGCCTTTTGGTGCTAAACTGGACATAAGATTCTGATGGACTTTCCTGCCTGGGCTGACTTCAAATCACAATCCTCATATCTCATCTTCCTGGGTATCTAGGATTATAGGTGTAAGCCACCAGCGTCTGACTCTTCTTTACCTCCTTCAATTATTCTAACTGTAGGCAATTAGAATCTAGTCCCTTTTTATTTAGTTTCTTGAGTTGCATGTTCTCCACTTTGAGAAAAAGTGGAATCAAATTCATAACTAAGTCACTGTTAAACTCATCGGGAATCTGACCACACCAATTCCACCTTTAAAATTTGATTACACACCAGTGTCTAAAGGACAATATCCAAGCTCGTTACTAAAGCGCATAAAAAAAAAATCTCCATTGCCTTCCTTATATACCCATCATATTGTACACTTGCTCCATTCTTACCTAAGAACTTACTATTTCAACAATCACCATGAATTGCTATTTCCAACCAATACCTGATGTTTCACATTTCTTCATCTTAATGATAGAAGTATTTCTTCTGTCAAGAAGACACCTCCCTAATTAGTAATTGTCTGATAAACATTACTCATCCACCATCACTTATATTTATATTGCAACATCACATAATCTCTGTTTGTTTACATACTGATTCCTCCAATGAAAATTTTAATGCATTTTTGTGTTTTGTAGCTTGTCAACTGTCTGATACTTACTTAAGTATATAAAGAATGTTTACAAAAAATATCTTATGTCTAGCTCATATACCAAACATGAGTCTATACCACAAAATTCTGTAAGGTTTCACCTGATGGAGAGTCACTAAAGATAGCCTACAATTCCTTAGCTAAAGAATTATATGGAATATTAAAAGGAGATTGAGGCAACTATAGTCTAATCAAGGAAAACAGTATTTTAAGTACAAATGTCTTTTTGTTTTATTTAAAGTATAACCTATCTGTTTATGAAAGTCATGAAAATCCAAAATGGGTCATGAAAATTTGACATTTTATATATGTTAAAAAGATCATCATTCTTATTCTTTTCTCAGTTTTCATGCTCATTTGAATATGTTCCTAATGCTTTTAAGACACAATGTCAATGCCACAAATCTTACTATAATTATTAACAGGCTATTGAAAAACATGTTGGTGTAAGATTATTATTTATAAATGATGAAAACGAACTGGTCAACTTGAGGAGGAGGATCAGAAGGGAAAAAAACTGGTAGAAAATGAGGGAAGAAATGACACAGTTCAAAAGGTGGGAAGGAAGGGAATGGTAGGGGAAAAACGATGGAGGAGATGACAATGCTTGATAAGAAAACTACTCATTACCTTGCTCAAGTAACTGTAACCCCTCTGTACAGTATTTTCACAATAAAAAAACTTATTAAAATGTACTCAGGGCTGGGAAGGTGGCTCAGTGGTACAGTGCTTGTCTCGTATGCATGAGGGCCTGGGTTCGAGTCCTCAGCACCACATAAGCAAAAAAAGCCTAACTGGTGCTCTGGCTCAAGTGGTAGAGTGTTAGCCTTGAGCTGAAGAACTAAGGGACAGTGCCCAGGCCCAGAGTTCAGGCTCCACAATCGACAAAAAAAAAAGAATGTACTCATATCTGACTTATGTAATTGTAACTTCCTGTACATCACCTTTACAATAAAAATAAAAGCCGGGCACTGGTGGCTAAAGCCTGTAATCCTAGCATCTCAGGAGGCTGAGATCTGAGGATCACAGTTTGAGGCCAGCCAGGGCAGAAAAGTTCATGAGATTCTTTTTTTTTTTGGGGGGGGGGGGTCCGGTCGTGGGGCCTGAACTCTGGGCCTGGGCGCTGTCCCTCAGCTCTTCAGCTCAAGGCTAGCGCTCTACCACTTGAGCCACAGCGCCACTTCCGACTTTTTTCTTTTTGCTTATGTGGTGCTGAGGAATTGAACCCAGGGCCTCAGGCATGCAAGGCAAGCGCTCTACCACTGAGCCACCTTCCCAGCCCCATTCATGAGATTCTTATCTCCAATAACCTACTCAGAAAAAGCTGAAAGTGATGTTATGATTCTAGTGGTAGAGTCCTAGCTTTGAGCACAAAAAGGCTCGGGGACAGCACCCAGGACCTTCAAAAAAAAGTTTAATGATGTATCTAATACTCATAACACAATGTCATAATGAAAGAAAGTCACTTTGGGTAGATGATAATAGAATTCTTGAAGGGTTTGGCCAGAAAAATCATTAGGTATTTTTGTGTTTGTGTATGTACACAGACTATTAACTGTAGAACAAATTTTATTTATTAACAGAAAATTATTTTAAAAAATTTGATTTAAGAAAATTAACATTAAAACCACAATGAATTATCATTTTATATTGCATATATTAGCAATTATTTACATCTGATAATACAACTTATGGAGCAATGGAATGTGGAGCAATGAAAACTTGAAAAAAGTAAGAACTTTTCTTGTAAAATCAATCATATGCATACTCTATGTCTAAGGAATTCCATTCTTTATTATTTTTTTTTTTTTGGTCGGTCGTGGGACTTGAACTCTGGGCCTCGGTGCTGTCCCTCAGCTCTTCAGCTCAAGGCGAGCGCTCTACCACTTGAGCTACAGTGCCACTTCCAGTTTTCTGGTGGTTTATTGGAGATAGGAGTCTCACGGTCTCTACAGCCCGGGGCTGGCTTTGAACCGCGATCCTCAGATCTCAGCCTCCTGAGTAGCTAGGATTACAGGCGTGAGCCACCAGCGCCCGGCAGGAATTCCATTCTTTGAGAGGCCATTTTATATGTCACTCAAAAGATATGTAAATGAATGGTCACGGCTATAATTTCTCTATTGATAAAAACTAGAAATACCTAATTGTAAGTACCAAAGAATGGACATACAAATTATAGTATGTCTGTACAAAGAACTATTATGGATTAATGACAATGAACAATATATAGTTATACATCATTTAGACTGTTAGAAACCCAATATTCAATTAACTATAAGAAGTATGAATTACAAACAGTACATCAATGTTGTAAAACTAAACCATGGAATGATTAAAGCATTAATATGTGTTGTTTCATGATAAACATGTGATTATCTCTTATAACAAGACTATAATCAATCTATGGATGATTTTAATGTCATTGATAGTGTTCTAATACTTGAGGTTAGTGGCAAATTCTTAAAAATATGAATTACAACTTGGAGGGAGGAGGGAAGAGTTGGGGAGTTGGGGAGGGAAGGGATGGTAGGGGAAAAACAAAGGAGGAGGTAATTGCTCAATAGGAAATGTATTCATTACCTTACTCATGTAACTGTAACCCAGCTGTACAGTATTTTTACAATAAAAAAAGAAATCAATATTCTGTTTTATCACTTAAATGAATATTGTATATATTATTTTATGTTAAATTACATTAATATATTTTCAAATATAAATTAGCTAAGAACATATTGAGAAAAAATCACTAAACTCATATTGAGCACAAAGGTATATAGCATACTTACTGGTTCAATTTCAATATCAGCAATCTGAATAGATCCACCAATCCTAAGGTCTATAGTATTTGCATGATGAATGGTAACCTTATTTAGGAGAAATAGAAAGCTTTGTAAAGTTGGGTAAAAATATCATCATCTATAGCTAAAAAGTTAACTTGGATTTGCATAAGACTTTATAATTTAAATGAAAGCCACATAATTTAAACGTATAAAAATTAATCTGGCCAGGCACTGGTGGCTTATGCCTGTAATCCTAGCTACTCAGAGGGCTGAGATATGTGGATCATGGTTTGAAGACAGCCCAGGTAAGAAAGTCTGTGAGATTCTTTATCACCAGTTAACCACCAGAAAACTGAGAATAGAGCTGTAGCTCAAAGTGGTAGAGTACTAGCCTTGATCAAAAAGCTCAGGAATAGTGCCAGGCCTTGAGTTCAAGCGCTATATCTGACAAAAAAATTATCTGGCATTTGCCATCACATTTCTTGTTTTTTAGAATTGATCATCTGGAAGAAAAAATGTTCAACTGTTACAAACTAGATGGCTTCTGGTTTTGTTTGCAGAATAATTGGAATTCTCTATAACATGTTTTTATTTATAGTTACTATACATTTATAGTTCATATAAACTATATATTTATAGTTATATATAGTTACTATACATTATTCAAAATTGAGAAACAGGAGAGTGAGTTAAAAAACGTTCTTCCCTTACAAACATGCACAAATTGAAGGTATAGATGTGGCTGGGAAAGATAAAGAAGAAAGATGAAATGACATTTTGACTTGAAATCTCTTTGTACAACTACTTAAATATGAAAAATAAAAAATAAAATGAAATAGAGAAATATGATAAATCACAATGATCACAACAATAATAAAAGCCATTACAAAATTCTATATGTATCTGGTATAGAACTATATTATATCTGTTATGATAACTATTTATATTCTTTTAAAATGTCTGGCCTCTTCAGCAAATGGTGCTGATAAAATTGGTTAAACACCTGTAGAAAACTTAAGTTAGATCCACATATATCACCCTGCACCAGAATCAACTCCAAATGGATCAAAGACCTTGAAGGCAAAGCAGATACCCTGAAAACATTGCAGGAATGAATAGGAGAAATTCCAGGACTCCTTGGACAGCCCAAAATTTTCATAATAAAGACTCAGAAGCACAACAACTCAAAGAAAGGTTGGACAAATAGAATTGCATGAAACTGCAGAGCTTCTGCCTGGCAAAGGACATAGCTAGCAAGATCAATAGAAAGCCCATAGATTGGGAGAAGATCTTCACTGGCCATACAACAGACAAGGGCCTCATATCTAAAATATACTTAGAACTCAAAAAATTAAATCCCCACAAAACAAATCCTCAAAGAAACAACTGCCCAAAGAATAGGTGGGCTCAACACTTAAAGAGAGACTTCTCTGAACAGGAAATGAGAACGACACATGAAGACACATGAAGAAATGCTCAACTTCTCTGGCCATAAAAGAAATGCAAATCAAAACAACATAGAGATTCCACCTCACTCCAGTTAGAATGGCTATAATCAAGAACTCTAATAACAACAGATGCTGGAGGGGATGTGGCCAAACGGGAACCCTACTAGCACTGTTGGTGGGAGTGTAAACTTTTCAACTACTCTGGAAAGCAGTATGGAGATTCCTCAAAAGACCACACATAGGGGAGCTCTAGCTTCCCCTATGATCCAGCAATCCCACTTCTGGGCATTTACCCAAATGATCACAAACAAGGCCATACTAAAGCTACCAGCACAACTATCTATGCATATTGCAGCATTGTTTACCATAGCTAAGATATGAAACCATCCCAGATGCCCCTCAGTAGATGAATGGATTAAGAAAATGTGATATATATTTGTTTTCTATGCTTGCATCAGAAAGAATGTTACCGCCCCATTTGTTAGGAAATGGAAAGACTTGGGAAAAAAATCATTAAGTGAAGCCAGACCCAAATAAATATAGGTTCCATGATTTCCCTTATTTGTAGTAATTAGTATATGTCTAGGATAATCTTATCAGATGAGCAGAAAAGCTCAAACACTATGCACATATGACCAAATAAGATGATGCTAAATGAAATGAACCACAAGATACGGACACAAGAGGTTCTTCTTTGTTGTTGTTTTTAATGTATTATGTGATTTGTTTCTTTTGAATGTTCTTCCCCCAATGGGATATGCCCTGTTGTCACTGTATTTGATTTTGGTACCCTGCATCATTTATGTACATTTATCTAATTTGGGGAGGGGAAGGGAAATAACAAAATGTTGAAACAAGGACATAGGATGATTCATTGAAACAATGATACTCACATGACATTATGTTGGAAATGAATTTCCAACTTCGGGGAGTGGAAGAAGTAGGAGAGGATGTGGGAGGGGGAGGAAAGGGATAGTAGGAGAAAAACAAAGGAGGAGGTAAAAATGTTCCACAAGAAATGTACTCATTACCTTTCTCATGTAAATGTACTCCCTCTATACAGCATCTTTACAATAAAATTAAAAATAATAATAAAATAGTACTCTGATATATTTACTGTTAATCTCTAAAATTTCAAAGTGTAGAAAACTGATGCATTAAGAGGACATTTTTTTCTTTTTCTTGAGGCCATAAAATGTGAATACATGGCAGCAGCTAAACTTGAACCAACAACTTGCCTGAACATTGAATTGCCCCCCATGAAAAAAAATAAGAACTGAGGATTTAGTTTTTAAGAAATAGGAGTTATAGATTATCTTAACATATACTTGTCTAAGTAAAATCTCAAAAGTAGAAATAATACTTCTTGAAAGCATAAAGCAGTAAATCAATTACATGTGCTATAGATGTTGTAGATCAACTGCCCAAGAAGTATAAGGCTCTGAGTTCAAACTCCAGTATTGCAAAAAAATTAACAATTTAAAATATTTTCTGGGACTGGGAAGGTAGCTCAGTGGTAGAGTGCTTGCGTTGAATGCATGAGCCCATGGGTTCAATTCCTCAGCACCACATAAGCAAAAAGAAAAAAAGCTGGAAGTGGTGCTGTGGCTCAAGTGGTAGAGCACTAGCCTTGAGCTGAAGAGCTGAGAGACAGTGCCCAAGCCCAGAGCTCAGGCCCCCACGACCGGACCCAAAATAATATATATTTTCTGGAAATCATCTCTAAATTCTGACATCCAATTTTACTAGCACCTAATTTTATGTTAGATTATTTACATCAGTTTACCTATTTTTTCCAGCCCTAGGGCTTGACCTCAGGCACTGTCCCATGAGCATCTTTTGTTCAAGGCTAGCACTCTATTACTTGAGCCATATCACTACTTCTAGCTTTTTCTGAGGGGTTTATTGGAGATAAGAGTCTCATGGACTTTCCTGTTCCATCTGGCTTTGAACTGGCTTTGAGCCTCCTGAGTAGCTAGGGTTATAAGTGAAAGCCACTAGCACCAAGGTTAGTTTGCTTTTTTAAAAAATAGATCTTCAGACCTAGTTTAATTTCTAGACAATTGGTAGAAATTTTAATAGCCCTTTAATATCATAACCTTAAAATCAATTCTCAATAAGAGAAATAATTAAATTTTCTAAGAATAAATATGACCATTTTATAGTAGCATATGGATGACTATTAATATTTTTAAAAACAAGTCTTATGTATGTGTATATGCATATATACATTTTCACACATATATACAATACATATGTATATACATACCCTTGCTCTTGTGTCGAATTTTTCTGCCATTGTTGGTGTGCAGGAGATATTAAGAACTGCTAATCCACCAAATGGAATTATACCTTCAGGTGGAGTAATGTTAATAGTAGGCAAAAGGCTGTCTTTAGAAACCTGGAATTGAAAAAATTTTAAAGTGAAACGTGACCACTTAAAATTACTGTTTCAAAGGATATTTAGGAAAGCATCCCACTTCCTAGACAGATGGCTCTCCTTAGCAAAGGGCTGATTTTGTAATACTATTTGAATAATACACACACACACACACACACACACACACACACACACAGACACACACACTTGAATTGAAACAGGGAATTGCAGCTGTCATTCAGCAAAAAGAACCTCTACAGCATTATTTATTACCTGGAGTGCTTTCTGAAAAAAAGACTTAGATGTTGCTGTTAGAGAAGGGACTGAGATTCTAGACACTATTTTACTTGCTTCTAAAAACTGAAAGTTATGTCAGTCGGGAGGTGGTTTAATGTGTGAACTATCACACTGATCTTCAAAACATTACCAAAGTCTTTATGTTATGGTTTATCTGAGGCCAGAGTAAAAACAGACTTCTTATTTTCTTGATTTTACCCAGATAGATGATTTGGACGGAAAATGTTAATGTAAAAGTGAAAGTGATAGTCACAACTGGTAATGTCTAATACCACTAATGAAGGATTTAGTATATTTTTTAGTAAAAACCTATGCCACTGCTTTGCTCATCCCTCAAATTAAATAAGGAATCGCAACTATAAATAGATTATCTTCAGACTAATCTCCATTGGTTGCTTCCATGATTTTTTTTTTAAATTTAATTTAATTTTATTTGTGAACATACTGTACAGAGGAGTTACAGTTACATGGGCAGGATAATGCGTACATTTCTTACCAAGCATTGCAGCCTCCTCCTTTGGTTTACCCTTCACATCCCTTCCCAGCCTCCCCCCTCCCCCCCTAATCCCAATCCTTCACCTTCCCCCCCCCCCCCCCCCCCCCCCCCCCCCGCACCAACGTTGTAAAGCTCGTTTTGGACACGACAACTTGTACTTCTCATTGTTGCAACAGGTCCACCTGTATCCTTAAACAACTGGTTTTTCCCCATCTCCTCCATAAGTTATACTGACATCAAATATAGTGAAAGCAGGGGTTATACTGTGGGGGAGGGACATACAAAGCAACAAAGAGATAATCTTATAAATGTGTTAGAAACACATGCATGAAAGAAAAAAAACATTAAAATACATATCTAAGGGTTCATTTTCCTGACATCACATTATCTGACCTTTTCCGCTTGACTCATACATATACTAGATATTACAAATAAGGGAAACCATGGGACCTACGTTTCTTTGGGCCTGGCTTACTTCACTTAATATAATTTTTTCCAAGTTTTTCCATTTCCTAACAAATGGGACAATGTCATTCTTTCTGATGGAGGCATAGAATTCCATTGTGTATATATACCACATTTTCTTGATCCATTCATCTACTGAGGGGCATCTGGGTTGGTTCCATATCTTAGCTATGGTAAATAATGCTGCAATAAACATAGTTGTGCTGGTAGCTTTAGTGTGGTCTTGTTTGTAAACATTAGGATAAATGCCCAAAAGTGGGATTGCTGGGTCATAGGGGAGCTCTATGTGAAGTCTTTTGAGGAACCTCCATACTGCTTTCCAAAGTGGTTGAACAAGTTTACATTCCCACCAACAATGAAGTAAGGTTCCTTTCTGTCCACATCCCCTCCAGCATCTGTTGTTGTTAGAGTTCTTGATTTTTGCCGTTCTAACTGGAGTGAGGTGATATCTCAATGTTGTTTTGATTTGCATTTCTTTTATGGCTAGGGATGTTGAACATTTCTTCATGTGTCTATTGGCCATCCTTCTTTCTTCTTCAGAGAAGTTTCTCTTTAAGTCTTTCGCCCACTTATTTATTGGGCAGTTGTTTCTTTGAGGATTTGTTGTTGGGGGGTTTAATTTTTTGAGTTCCAAGTATATTTTAGATATGAGACCCTTGTCCGTTATATGGCTAGTAAAGATCTTCTCCCAATCCGTGGGCTTTCTATTGATCTTGCTAGCTATGTCATTTGCCCTGCAGAAGCTCTGCAACTTTATGCAATCCCATTTGTCCAACCTTTCTTTGATTTGTTGTGTTTCCGGGTCTCTATTCAGAAAATTTCGGCCTGAGCCAAGGAGACCTAGGGTTTCTCCTATTCCATCCTGTAATGTTTTCAGAGTATCTGCTTTGGCTTCAAGGTCTTTGATCCATTTGGAGTTGATTCTGGTGCAGGGTGATATATAAGGATCTAGCTTAAGTTTTCTACATGTAGTTAACCAATTTTGCCAGCACCATTTACTGAAGAGTTTGTCTTTCTTCCACTCTATTGTTTTAGCTCCCTTATCGAAGATTAGATGGCTATAGGTCTGTAGGTTCATTTCTGGGTTTTCAATTCTATTCCATTGGTCCTGAGGTCTGTTCTTATGCCAATACCAAGCTGTTTTGATTACTAGGCTTTATAGTAGAGTTTGAAGTTTGGTATTGATATTCGTCCAGCAGTGTTCTTTCCATTGAGGAGCGTTTTTGCTATTCGGGGTCTTTTATTGTTCCATATGAATTTTTGGATTGCCTCTTCTATTTCCTTGAAGAATGAGGATGGAATTTGGATAGGTATTGCATTGAATTTGTAGATAGCCTTGGGAAGTATTGCCATTTTCACGATGTTAATCTTTCCAATCCAGGAGCATGGGAGGTTTTGCCATTTTTTAAGTTCTGTGTTGATTTCCTTTTTCAAGATTTTAAAGTTTTCATCATAGAGGTCCTTCACTTCTTTAGTTAAGTTAATTCCTAGGTATTTTATTTTTTGTGGGGCTATTACAAATGGAGTTGCTTTCCTAATTTCAGCCACACTTTTCTCATTGTTGGCATACAGAAAAGCCATTGATTTTTGGGGGTTAATTTTATAACCTGCTACTTTGCCAAAGTTTTGAATCAGCTTGAGTAATTTGGGAGTGGAGTCTATGGGATTCTTTAAATACAAGATCATGTCATCTGCAAAGAGGGAGAGTTTTATTTCTTCTTTCCCTATTTGGATCCCCTTTATGTCTGCATCTTGTCTTATTGCTGTAGCTAGGCATTCTAATACTAGATTGAAGAGAAGTGGAGAGAGTGGGCATCCTTGTCTTGTTCCTGAGTTAAGAGGAAATGGCTTTAGTTTTTCACCATTGAGTATAATGCTGGCTGTAGGTTTGTCATCCATGATTTTTTTTAATCACAGAATGTAAATAAGAAGAAATGAGAAAGTATATTATCAAATGCAGACTATAACTTTAAGAAATGTACACTTAATACATTATCAACCACCTATTTTTCATAAATCTGGCTTCTACAGACACTGATCCAGAGCCATCATTGTTCATGGGAAGTACAGTCAAAGAGATAGTAAATACGCAAAGCATAAAGATGCGTGATTCTGATGCATAGGACACATAGGAAGAAGAATCATGGGCCAGGCAAGCCCGGACAAAAATACGAGATGCAATTTTAATTAACTAAAGTATAATAGACTCTATAGAGAGTACAAATAGTATAATTCTTTAGAAAGACTAAGTCAAAGCTCAAGAAAATAAGTACCAGGAAATGGGTACTTGCAAGAGATGGGTCAAGAGGAGAATGGTAGAAGGTTGAAGGGGGAACTAAGTAGAATGCAGGCAAGAATGAATTGTATGTAGAACAAAATTGAGACAAATACAGGAAGGGGTGGGTCAACAGGGGTGAAGATGTTGAAGAAATGACACAGATCACGATGCACTGTATCCATAAACTGTTTTGTTAAATGGCAAAAATCTCAATATATAAGCTAAAAATCAAGGAATGTGAGAGACGGGGTGCGTTGGGAGGGGTAGGTAAGAATGTTGAAAGGGGTGACATTGATCAAGAGGCACTGTTTTCATAAACTGCTTTGTTGAGTGCTAACACTTTTGTACAACTACTAAAAAATAATAAAAACTCTCAAAATATGTTGGTATAATTTGTGGAAGGGAAGGGAAAAAACAAATCGTTTAAATAGGGATACAGGTGGACCCATTGCAACAATGAGATGTACAAGTCGTTATGTCGAAAATGAACTTTACAACTTTGGCGTGGGTGGGGAGATAGGAAGGGATGGGAAGGGGAAACAAAGGAGGAGGCAACAATGCTTGATAAGAAATGTACTCATTACCTTGTCCATGTAATTGTAACCCCTATGTATGGTATTTTCACAATATAAATGATATATAAAAAAACTCTCAAAACATAATTAGGGAAAAAACACAAAAGGGCTAAAGTCATGGCTCAAGTTGTAGAGTCTCTGCCTAGCAACTATAAGGCAACCCCCGTGCCACCAAGAAGACAAATAATGATAATAATTTTTCAAACTTTTTTCTTTTAAAAAACCAGATGACAGAAGGTAAAAAAGAAGAGAAAAAATGAAAAGAACTAATAACAAAGGTAGTGAGAGAAATAATTTTCAAGGAAAATAAATATACTCAGAAAATCTTTGAATAAAATAACCTAAAATTTACCAGAAGTGCATTTAGTAAGAGTATTAACTTCACAGTATTTGTGTTACCAACATATAGATCCAAATATGAAAGGCTGAAAATTCTAAATTACCTTGAAATATGCATGGTGTTGTCCTACATTATGAAGAATAGCTTTTCTCCAAGTTGTTAAACCTTGAGGACTATTACTGAATAGCACCCTTGGCTCCCAAAACATGACCTTGGTGTGACCAAGCTAATAATGGGAGGAAGAAATGGAAAATACAATTGAAATAATAGTAAAATATTTTTGTTCACAATAATAAAATGGTTGAAGTGCTAACATGAATGCATCACAAATATGATTTGTGAAAGATAAAAGATAATCTTCCTATATTATAGATCAAAAATAGTTTAATGTATAAAAATATCTCACAATGGGTTTTGTATTTTAAGCTTGATTTAAAAGTACTCAACGTATTACATTATTTTTCTAATTAAAATAAATCTGTAATAGTCTTGTTAGAATGGAGAATATTTTATTTACTTATTTGAAGAACATGATTTGGGTAATCGATGTAAGTTTTCAGACTAAGGTAACAGAAATGAAATAGTTAAACAGCTTAGTCCTTCATAAAAACAAACATTAAATGAACATTTTATTTAATCACTTCATGTTCCTTCATCTTGGAGACAGTTCATGTAGCCCAGGCTGGACCTAAACTTGTGATTCTCTGTCCTCAACTTTGCACATGTACGACATTAGATTTTGCCAATTTGCTTTCCTTGGAATGCTTCAAAAGTGTAAAGCTTTAAAAGTTTTAAAGATTCAAAAATTTGCCTAAAATAATTTAATTGAGTCTTCTGGTTTCTCCCAACTATATTCTTTCCCAATCTCAAAGGAGAGAGTGCAGAAAGCAAATTTTATTACCAGAGATAACAGCAGTGCTGTAGAAGTAGGTAAGTCTGTGTATAAATTCCAGCTAAGGAATGATTACATGTGTGAGCTTACATTCAGCACTCCATGTTTTCACTGTTCACACTCTCATATGATTATTGTAAGAATTAATTTTATGAATATATTACTATCCCTTAACATAGCAGAATTACTCAATAAATAATTATTATTAAAGCTAAATCCAAAGTAGTAATTTCCTCATGCTTTGTTAGAAAAAATGTGCAGAATGAGTATGTGGCAAATTTATAGTAAATTGTCAAACACAGTTACATAAACAACAGTTCAAAAACTATGCACAGATTCACTTAAGGGCAGTTTATAAGAGGTAGAAATAATATTCTGTTACCTAAGATTTGAAATCACCCAAATTCCTATTACTTGTGTGGATGGTAAATGATTATACAGTTACACAACTAATACTGTTAGGAGAATGCATAGTTTACAACCGAGTGCATCAGCTCAGATTAATCCTGCAACCTCATGATGTTTGAAGGAAGTCATACTATATTTTGACAAGTAAATCTAGTGATGACCCTAGTGATTGGAAATGTGAACCTAAAAGAATGGTTCTTTTTATGTGCTGATCATGTTCTGCTTCTTGATCTGGCCAATCTGTAGGTAGGTTAAAAAGTGATCATAGGTTACAGTTTTTAAAGATTAAATAATACCTATTTTAGTTGGCACACCTTTCTAAATGAGTATTATCCATTGATAAACAATCTTAGAAAGAATATAGATAGAGATAGAGAGATAGATGATAGATAGATAGATGATAGATAGATAGATAGATAGATAGATAGATAGATAGATAGATAGATAGATAGATAGATAGATATAGTACCCAGCTTGAAGTATAAGGAAGACTTGTGTTCTTATTTCAATATGTCATCTCTAAAATTTGTGTGTATCTTACTTCTAATCTACAAACTCCTTTCACAGAAGAAATATGTAAAAACATCCTCATGTCATGGAAATAAAGATGGAACTTGGTAAAAGGGCATTGAGCTTGTTCCAAATTTGTAAGAACATTGAGTGTATACAATGTATATACGTGTACATATATATGCTTATGTCTAAACAATTTATAGTATTCAAAATAAAAATCACATTAAATGATAATTACCTGTGCAACACATTTTAATGTCAATGTGTTTCCACCAACAACTTGAAGAATAAATTCTCCAATCTCTGGAGAATTAAAAGTTGGTTGCCATGATACCTCACATTCCAGTGAGCAATATGGATCAATGATGCCTACAGAGAATATATAGAGAAAATAAGGCCATTACAACATTCTTATTAGTTGGGCCATTGCAAATACCACAAATTAGAGCTTTCTTAAAAATGTAACAATCAAATCATTGATATTAAATTCCAGTTGTGTGGATATGCTGAGTGAGAAATTGCCAAATTAACATAGAGCTATGGGATTTCCTTGAAAGCTGAAATTAACAATTTATTTCTGAAGCTTATGCTGTAAAGAAAAATGTATGACCAAAATATGCCAATGTTTAAATACCAATAGATTTATCAATAAGAAACACACTATAAGATAAGAAAGGGTTATATATATTATATAGTTTATAGGAAATAATTTGAGATTGTTAAGCAAATCATTGTCCCCTCTATATATTTTCCAACGTTCTAAAATACTTATCAACATTTGACACTCACTCAGCTTTCAGAGAAAGGAATCATCATTACTAGAGAAATTATTTTATTTTATTTTTATTGTAAAAAATACTGTACAGAGGGGTAACAGTTACATGAGTAAGGTAATGAGTACATTTCTTATCCAGCATTGTTACTTCCTCCTTTGTTTTTCCCCTACTATCCCTTCCCTCCCCATCTCCCCAACTCCTCCCTCTTCCCCCCCTCCAAGTTGTAAAGTTCATTTTCAACATAGTGTCTTGTACATCTCATTGTTACAATGGGTCAACCTGTATCCTTATTCCCACATTTTGTTATTTCCCTTCTTCTCCCCAAATTAGAAAAATGTATATACAAATTTTTGTAAATGTACACATCCCTGTAGATGTAACTTCCCATGTAGCTCATAGTATTTAAATTATTTCTAGAATTCAGATGTTTTTAGAACTTATGTGTTTAGAATCTTATTTGGTATGAGAGGCTTTTACCTACTCAAAGTTATCATTTTCTTTGGAATAAGGAAAAATGTATACTTGAAGGAATACAATGAGTTAGAAATTCTTTCAGGGAGAGAGAAACTTCTGAAATTCAGGGGAACATGATACTAAACAGGATAGAGTGAATATCATAGTTTTTACCTATAAAAGCAGAAAAGATGGGGTGAAATTTGAACCATGGAAGTGGCAAAAACTTCATCAAATGGCTTCTAAATACTGGCATGAGGATGAATACAGAATACAACGTCTGAGTGGGTTAGAGTAAAGTCACTGTATCACAAAGGGTTGAGTGACTCATGGTTTTACCAAGAGTAAAGTCAACAAAAAAGTAAAGAAAACAAGCGGAAAACATTCAATGCCTATAAAAATATCCAATTAGAAGTAAATCATTTGAAAAGAAACAAAACCTTAATAACCCATATTGTTAAATCACATTTACCTAGGTAAAAATTACCCTGATCACAGTATCTAGTTATTTCTATGCTCTTAGCCAGAATACAACTTAATTGATGCATGTCTAGATACACAAGTGAATTAATAAATAAATGCCTGAATGAAACAAAATAAATTATTACCACTAGCTGGACGAATAGAAAAGGCAAACCCTTTATCTGTATTTATTGGGTGCCATCCAAACCGAGCAGGAAGATTCTGGCGATTATGCAATTTAACTGTCCCTCGAAAACACGTTTTCACTAAGAAAGCTTGGGGTTTCAATAATATCTCCTTAGAAGATAATTCAAGTCTTATTGCTGTAATAGCTGCCATCACCAGGATATGCCCACCAGGAATGCTGTTCACTGTAAATGTAAATGACCTGTAACACACCAAAAGCATCCATGTTTAAGTGATCATAGCTATTTTGACTATAGGGTTACAGGTGGACCCATTGCAACAATGAGATGTACAAGTCGTTATGTCAAAAAATGAACTTTACAACTTTGGTGGGGGGTGGGGGGAGGATGGGGGGGGAGGTGGGGGGAGTATGGGAAGGGATGGGAAGGGGAAACAAAGAGGAGGCAACAATGCTTGATAAGAAATGTGCTCATCTTGCCCATGTAATTGTAACTCCTCTGTACGGTATTCTCACAATAAAAAAACTCTTAAAAAAAAGAATTCACTTATGTATGAAAAATGTATGTCATAGATTAATCTACATAATTAATAACTAGTAGGTAATATTTTTAAATAATTATGAAAGAGAATTACATTATCAGAGAAATATGAAACTACAGATCTATGAGTTGACACATATATAGTGCTCATGCTTTGAAATCAACTATAATATAGTACAATTATTTAGGTAAATACATACTACAAATGATCCTAGCACACAGAAATTAAAAAATGAAGCTTACTTCCAAAAATTTCCAATTTTATGGGATTCAAATACCATTGAAACATAAGTACTAGCTGTGGGTGGAATTACAAATGATAATTGTTTTGTTTTCTGAAGTTCTTCCATGTTAACATCTAACTGGACCAAAACATGCATAGAGAGCATATTAATAAAATGCAATTGACGAATGTTTGTAGAGCTCACACAAATATTACCGAAGTTCAGAATTGAGGGTCCTAAAACAATGAAAAGTAAGTTATTAATTTTAATGTTGAAATGTTTTCATTTATCTAATTGAAATTAATAAAATTATAGAAAATGATAAAATATTTACTATAATATTTACTATAATGGCAAGCTATTTTACTTAAATGATCAAAAATTGCTATTTACATTTTTGACTAACTTCTAATATGAATATATTCTAATTATATAACAAAGTAAGCACAATGTAACTCATCTCAGCACACTAATTCACAACAAATTCTCTTAGCTATCGTCAGTGAAATTATTTTACTCATGAATCCAGAATTTACAGGTATTAGTAATTTTACCATAACTCACTATTCAAGTCTTTTCCTTTTAAATGTCAATTATTAGAATATAACAGACACATATTTTGTGTTCCAATGAATTTTCTATTCTGGGAAGAAGTTATTTTAAAACATTATTTGTTTCAAATCTTTCATTATATAAGTTATATAGGTCTGCAGTAGTGTTATAAATAGCAATAATTTGCTACTACTAAAAGAACTTGCTGAGTATTTGTTGCATTGACCTAGAAGCCATGAAGGTTTTTATTTCAATCAGCTAGGTGGCAACAGTAATTATTCCTGGTTTTTTCAGGGTTGATTATTCTATAATCCTTTGTAATTTTTCATTTTGCTCATTTGGGATGGCTTTCTCACATTCATTATCTGGTTAAACATTTTCTGAATGATTGAGAGAGGCCATCAGCAGAACAGAAGTTTTATTGTGAAGTTCTTTTCTTTCCAGCTACTCTGATCCATACCATCTAGCTTCCTTGGTGATCCTGGTCTCTTATGTTTGTCATTTCATTGCATGAATTCCTTCAGGTTTTTAGTTCCTTCTCTATGTGCTGTGGACTGGAAACTCTCATGCTAGTAAATCTCTTTGGTACCTTTTTAAAAAATTAATTTTCTTTATTGTTATTATACAGGTGATCTACAGAGGGATTACACCATTACATGAGTCACATAATGAGTACATTTCCTTTAAAACACTTTCTTCTGTTCCCTCACTCTCTCCCAGTCCCTCTCTATTTATTTATTTATTTATTTATTTTTGCCGGTCGTGGGGCCTGAACTGTGGGCCTTGGCACTGTCCCTCAGCTCTTCATGTCAAGGCTAGCACTCTACCACTTCTGGCTTTTTCTGCTTATGTGGTGCTGAGGAATTGAACCCAGGGCCTCATGCACGCAAGGAAAGCACTCTACCACTGAGCCACGTTCCCAGCCCCCCTCCCTATCTTTTTAAAAGTCATTTTTATTGTTATCATTAAGGAGCTGTACAATATCATCCTTCTTGAACAATATCATCTCTTCTTTCCCTTTTCCCCATTTCCACCCTCCCTTCCCTGCCCACAAGTTGCATAGTCCATTTTTACATAGTATATATTGAATACCATGACTGCATGTGTTCATACTTCCCACTTCCATTCCTGTGCCCCTGATACCATATTTTTCACTGTTTGATATTCCATGTTAAGGAAAATCTGATGTATTTTTGTCACTTGTTTTTGATCATTTCAGGCAGGTGGTTAACTTTGATCTTTGTCACTCCAGCTTAAACAAAAATGGAAGTTTCTCCTACCTTAAGCTGAGCTGATATAAGATATTATGAACATGTTAATAAGTGTTGCTAGTTACTATGGCTATCAATTACAATATGCTTGAAAGGGTCTTTACTCTCTATTTGATGAAGGAGACTTCTGACTGAATATCTACCAGGTTGGCCAGGCATGAGAATAGGAAAATAACCATGTTATAAGGCATGTGAGAAACATCAGTTATAACAGAAACAAGCTGGGGTGATATCCAAGCATGTATTGTTGGGTTGGTCAAAATGTTAATAGAAAGTGTAAAAAAAAAAGTGGAGCAAACTAATCAAACAAGTCTATTGTGTTTAATAATTACCTTAATTTTGAAATATATAATTAGAATCAGTTTTCTGAAACTATAATATTTTTATGGGATTAGGCCCTGCTCCATTTAGAGGCTCAAAGAGCACCCCTAGTATGTGAAAATGAGGGCTACTCCCTTACCCATTTCATTAAACATATCCTCTCTATATACTTCCTCCAGTCCACTTAAAATTCCCTCAGATTAGCTGGCTTTGTCAATACAGAATCCCTATTCCCAGAGTGACTGTACTAAGATGCTCAGGGCATCAGGGAAAGAAAGGAGGGAAATTAACAGAGAAGCTATAGAAAATTCAATGAACACTGTCTTCTAACTTTCTTTTGTTTTTTGTATAGATCTGCTTGTCTGATCAGTCAATAACTAATTTGGAAGGCAAGAATAGTTACCAAATAATAGGGAAAGATAAGTTCATGGAACTATAGAGCTTAGCATCTATCAAATTCCTGGCCATTGTAACTTGATAGAGTTACTTTGGCAACCTTTTAGGAGGTTTTATTTTTTTTTAAGTCAGTTATACTTTTTCCATACAAGTCAGCAATTCTAATCTTAAGAATCTAATAAAAAAATAAAACCTTACAGCCCTTCAAAAAATTTTATGTCAATATGTATAGCCTCATGATCCATGAGACACAAGTTTGAAACAGCACAATATCCAAGAATCAGTGGAAAAATAAATTAAAATAAATAAAATAACAGTGGGGTGCCATTTAAATATAGAAAATAATAAGGAGTAGGAGATATATGTCCCAAAAACCATATGCTGTGATAAAAGTAATACGTAGTTTATCATATATCATATTATTCCATTTATATGGAATGTTCAGAACAGACAAATTCATAAAGATAGAAAGGATTTATTGATAGCTCAAGGCAGACGGTAAAAAGTAGGGAGTGATTGCCTACAGATACAGTGGTGATTATATATTCTAAACTGAATTGTGATGGGGGTTTCATAACCAAATTTAAAAAAATTTATTGACTTCTATACTTTAAAATTATGATTTCTGAAGATTATAAATTATCTCTTATAAATAGGCTAAAAAATAATGCAATATGTTTTTCTATGTTCTTACCAACAATTACTTGATGAATTTGCTTTGGTGTCAAATGTAAGCTACACTCATGTTTCTCCTGGTTAGTGGATGGTTCTGATTTAAGTCCTTTGAGAACCTGAGGAAAAACAAATTTTTCCAAAATTAATCATTCAATATTATCAAGAGCTATTTTAAGAATTTGAATATTAGAACAAAAATTAAAGTATCCTATATACCTTATTATGTTGGGCCTCTATCTCCTTCGATGCCATTTTTTTTGTACTTAATAACTGAGTGTCATTGATGGGAGACTCTGGTGGAGGTAAAGGTATTACCTCTTCTATTTCAGTTACTGAGAGAGGGGGTGACTTTAGGCCCGACCCTGGTTGTAAGCCTATGTCTGTGTCATTATGTGAACACATATGTTGCCTATTAAAATAACAATAAGAAAAAGAATGAACAATTGAGGCCAGGTTATTTATAAAATATAAATATAAATGCAAATAGCCCCCATAGTACACATTGTTGGGGCTCACTCATATCTACTTAGCCAGACTGGAACACTAGTCGACAGGAAGTTTTCCTCCACTAAGGCCCATTCTCTTCTAACACCACTTATGGGAAGTTATATCCGCTTCAACTGCTGTGTCACATTCAGGAGCAGCCCACAGTCAATGAGAGGCAGATATCAGTTAAGACAAGCTTCTTTATCTAGAGGAAGGGACAACTATGTGGCATAATATATATTCAAAAGATTCTAAGAATTAGGCTGAGTATAAACTCTATTTGAAACACATTCCTTCTTCAACTCTCTTCCTGCCTCTGTTCTGCATCATTCATTCTGTACAGGTTCCTCCTGAAAAACAATCTGTACACATCACATATAATGGAATCTTTGTTTTAAGGTTAAGATTGTGCCTAAGACATCTCCATATCAAATGGTAATAATATTACTATAAATTAATTCAAAACAGAAAGAAACTAAAAAGCAAAGAAAATATATGATGTTCACATGCAGAAGATTAGAATTTGAACCTTATTGTTTACCATACACAAATATCAACATAAAATAAAAAAGATATGAAATTACTATAATAAAACCTGGAGTAAATAAGACACTAGCACAAGCAATTTTTTTGGAGAAGAGCACCAAAATACAGGCAACCAAAGCAAAAGTATACCAATTCTATCAACTTAGGAAACTTTGGTGTAAGAGTCAAGAAACACCTACATCTTAGAGGAAGACTGAAAACTATTCATTTGACAAAAGATTTCTCAAAATATTAAAAAAAAAACCCTCAATAACAAAGTCCCTAAACTAATCAATTCATGTATGACAAACGATACAAATGGACACTTCTCAAAGGAAGATTTTAAATTTGTTTTGAAATTGGGTGGTGGAACAATCAGGGAGCACAATACAGAGGTTCTTTACAAAAGTAAAACTAGATGTATCGTATGATACAGCTTATTCCACTTCTGGCTATTATTTACAAACAGCATAATGAAGAGATGGATGACTACCCATGTTTATTTATTCATAACTGCCAAGTCATAGATACAGAAAGTGTGGTATATATGCACTACACAAGAAGTATTATTTAGACATTACAAAGAATGAAATGCACCTGTAATCCTAGCTACTCAGAAGGCTGAGGGCTGAGGATAATAGTTTAAAGCCAGTCTGAGGAGGAAAGTCCTTGAGACTCTTATCTCCAATTAACCACAAAAAGATAGAAATAGAGTTGTGGCTCAAGTGATGGAGTGCTATCCTTGAGCAAAAGACAAACCAAAACAAAAAACAAAAAAAAATTTCATGGACAAAGCTTAGGCCCTGAGTTCAAACCAAAGGGCCTACACATACAAACACATCACACATACACACATACATACATGAATGAAATCCTCTCATTTTCAGTCAAATGTTGAAACAATATGTTAAGTAAAATGCAGATGTAGTAAGATGCAGATGTTAAGTAAAATGTAGATGCTAAAATATTTGATATGAATGTAGAAAAGTGGATATTACATGTTGGATATTTGGGGGCAGTTAGGAAATAAAGGGAATATTAGAAGTACTGAAACACAGGTGGAATTAAGTTCTAGATTTCTTCATAGAGGTAAACACAAATGGAAACATAAATTATCCTCACTTGATTTGTATACATGTCCTGAAACATCCAAATACTTCATAAATAAGTTCAATTATTTCTTTGATTAAAAGTATTACAAATATTGGAAGAGATGGGAATGGTAACTACCCTAAATCGGTCAGTAGACACCATACACATGTATCAAACTATTAAACTACACACAAATTTTCTTAAAAACTACACCATTTTCTTAAAAAAATACCTATATGGGTATTGGTATATTGTTTGATGGGCTGTACTTTACCTCTCTGCTTCTTTCTGTAGGCGAATGTTCCTTGAGTTTCTAATATATTTTGTGTAATAGTCTTGATGTGCTTTCTTTTTTTCTTGTTCAAGGCTAGTATATTCATATTCATGATCTGTATAATTATGTCTTGGAATCTTCGTGAAAATTGTCCTACAATGTGAACAAGTCTTGTTAAAATTTATATCTATGTATTTGCACTGTTAGTGTGTGTTACAACTTCAAGCCAACTACTTTGGTAGACCTGGTCATACAGTGGGGAATGGATTCATCTTTTGCCTCATATTCTATTCTCTATGAAAAAACTTCTTTCAGAAGTATGTAGAATAAAGCCAATTTTTAAAATTTAATCAGAGAAAAAAGCTTATTCTTAAGGTTATTGGTAGGCAGGAGTACCTACCATAAACTTGCCCTTATGGAATTAGTGAAATAGGCTATTGGGAGAGTTCTAAATAATAAATTAGACTTCAAAAATTAAATTTTAATCTGATCAGTTTGTCCTAAGAGATCAATACTTTTAGATCATTGTGATAAAATTTAAAAATATAGAATAGTGAAATCTTTTTTCAAACATGTTACTTTCCTAAAATCATAAAGGTTATAAAATATGAACAATAAATCTATAAAAAGAAGTAATCAATAAAAATAACTGTAATTTTTATATATGTTAGATTGACCTCATTGCTTTCATGTTCTTTCCTTTTTAACTGTTACATATTTTCAATGAATTACAAAGTAATATCATGAATACATTCTGGCCTTAGTCGACCTCAACCTTTAGTAAATTTTATGTCATTAAGATTCTTACCCTCAATAATTCATGTGTATGATAAATGGAAAAAGAAATTTCATCACATTTTTCCTTGTTTCATACTTCCTTGATAGTCACATAAAGATATATTTAACTTAACTTTTAACAGAGTGATACAAAAAGAACACAAAATGCAGTTAATACAGTTAAGAACACTAAAAGACAGTTAATATTTAAATTTTCCATCAAGTACTAAGTTTTATGTGGTATTGAAGATTGAACTCAGGACCTCACACATGTTAGTCAAGTGCTCTAACACTTGAGCCATACCCAAAGCTTTTTGCTTTTAGATTTTTGTCAGATTGGGTCTCATGTTAACTCTTTGCTCAGGCTATCCTCAAATTATTATCCTTTTTCTCTCTTTCCCTAGAGCAGGAAAACAATACCCTTCCACACTTAGTCAAGCTCTAAGACTCTTAGAAATAATTTTCTTATCTAAAGTTCTAATGTCTGTAAAAAGGAGAAAAGGAAGGACATGTAAAGTACCAACAGGGAAAACACCTTAAGTGACAAAGCATTATTAACATATCTAAATCCTTACATATTCTTAAGTAATAAATATTCTTTAATAATAAAAATTTATTTTCCATAAACAGGAAGGATCAGGAGGATTATGATTCTAGTCCAGCCTTAGAAAATTTTCAGAAGACCTCCATCTCAACCAATAACTAGGTATTGTGTCTCAAGCTTGTCATACTAGTTATGTTGGGAGGCTGAATTCATGAGGATCATGGTTCCAGGATAACCTAGGCAGAAGTATACAAAGCTCCACCTCAATGAAAAAAGCTGTGCATGGTAGCACATGCCTGTCATTGCAGCTGCAGTGGGAAGTATAACTAGGAGGATGAAGCCTAGGCCAGACAAAGGTAAAAAGCAAGGCCCTGTTTCAAAATAACTGAAGGAATGAATCATATGGTATAGCTTGCCAAGCAAGCATGAAGAACTGAATTCAAATTATAGTGCCATTAAAATAGATAAATAATTAAATGAGCAAAAGTAAATATAGTACAATAAAATTTCTTTCATACAGGACTGAATTTTCTCCTCTATTAATGTAAAGCAGATTTATTGAGGAAAAATAAATGTCTTTGGAATAAATAGGAAGTGCTAAATCTTGTATTTAAATGATCTAATTGATACAGAGTTAGAAATAAAGTGTTAACACTAACTTAAAGCATTTCATCCACATATTTACATGAGATATATAAATGTTTCCAGAAGCTACCATTGCAGGGAAAAAGAAGACACAATTGACTTTTTACAATATATAATTATTTAAATTTGAATCTGAATGCTTTTTTTTCTCTGTGTTATGGTACTTGTCAAATGAAAACAAGGGCAAACATAAATAGGATTTGTAAAACAAAACAGAATATTCTATAGCACACTACAGAATGTTTATAATAAAAATGGCCTAAAAATCAAATGACATTACAGTAAATTTGCTACAGAATTAGGTGAACTTAAAGGTTCTCTAAAGTAAAGTGACAAGTTGAACTATCAAGTTTAGGTAGTATAGTAGTAGCATAATACAGGCAAAAAAGAAACCTGTATCACTTGCAAATGTGTACAAAGTATATTTTTGGCTCAGGGCATAGAAAAACATTTCAAAATGCATTGATTATTTCTAGTGAATTATTTGTAAGGTAGTAAATTTGTAGAGGTTTAAATATCTGTTATTTTAGCTCAGCTTAGAAACAGTTACATTAAGTATATCTTTGAGGGGATAACTAAAGATGATGATAATAATGATAGTTTTCCACAATATAATACTTTTATTCAGATAAGCTCAAGCACTCAATCATATTGAGTAAACATATCTATTCTGAGGACTTACATTTCTAAGTATGGTAATTTCTGTCATTTTTCTATACTTGTTAATAATATTCATAAAAAGTTGTTTTACATATCAGTCACTTCCAGGTAGTACACAACAGAGGCAATAAAAAGATTAGATAAAGAAAATACAGTTGGGCATTCAACAACCATGTGCTCCATATTAAAAAGAGAGAAAACAACTGAGTGCCAGTGGCTTACACCTGTAATTCTAGCTATTCAGGAGGCTGAGATCTGAGGATCGCAGCTCAAAGCCAACCTGGACAGGAAAATCATGAGACTCTTATCTCCAATTATCCACCAGAAAACCAGAAGTGGTGCTGTGACTCAAGTGGTAGAGCAACTAGCCTTGAGCTGAAGAGCTGAGGGACAACACCCAGGCCCAGAGTTCAATCCCCATGACCAACAAAATTTTTTTAAAAAGCAAAAAGAAACAAAAAAAACCCATAAAAACAAAAAACACAAATGCTAGAAGTGGTGCTATGGCTCAAGTAGTAGAGCACTTGAGCTGGAACCGCTCAGGGATAGTGCCCAGGCCCAGAGTTCAAGCCCCATGACCGACAAAAAAAAAAGTTTTACTGACATCATTTTATTTAACATCATGTTCTCATGTTCTTGGCAGACTTTTGAATATCATTAGAGATTATGTTTTTCAAAGTTACAATTTTTAATATGATATGTTACCTGAAAGTCTTATGGTGATCTCCAGGCCTTATACTCCCAGGTCGGTCATTGGGATAGGCTATCAATGCATTGGCTGTGGACTTTTCATTTATGTGATGATTATGCAGGCATGTTGTGGCTGATTGCAGCATTGCTACAGGTACAGGATTCTTATTTTTTGCCAAATCTTTGATTACAAACTTTCCAATAGGATTACTGACGAAAGGAGATAAACCTTTTATAGAAATGAGCATTAAGAACAATGAGAAGTACAAAATGTCATGTCAAAAACGAGCTTTACAATGTCGGTGTGGGGGGGGAGGGGGAAGGATTGGGTGGGGGGAAGGGGGGAGGCTGGGAAGGGAGGTGAAGGGTAAACAAAGGAGGAGGCTGCAATGCTTGGTAAGATATGTATGCATTATCTTGCCCATGTAATTGTAACCCCTCTGTACAGTATGTTCTCAAATAAAATAAAATTAAAAAAAAAAAAAGAAATGAGCATTAAGTTTATCTTTGGCAGTTTGAATTTTGGCTTTCTTTTAAAAAGTCATGAATTAATACACTATTATAATTGGCTCTAATTTAAATACTAAATTTCCAAGGAAAAATAATCAGGAAAAACAGATCACTTAGTACACAGGCATACACAGAACAAGTTAGCAAAGGAATACAGAAATAGATTATAAAATGCATGCATAATATAAATATAACTTGAAATACTTCTGTTGATCTACATGAAGCTGAAATTTGCATAGGTTTAAACAGTTGTATACCATCCAATTTCAATATATGAAATGTGATAGAGTACTGAGTGAAATAGCAACAACCAGAAAATTTGGGGATGGTCAAATCCAGATTATAGTCAGACTTAAAGAATGAAATGTAGCTGAGCACTGATGGCTCACACTTGGGATCCTAGCTAATTAGGAGGCTGAGAAGTGCAATTTGAAGCCAGTCCAGGAAGGAAACACTCTTACCTCCAATTAACCATCTAAAAACAAGAAATGGAGATTTGACTCAAAGTGGTAGAGCACTATCCTTGAACAAAAAACTTTCAGGAACAGTGCCCAGACCTCAAGTTCAAACCCCACAACTGACCCCCCAAAAAAGAGTAAAATGTAGAAAGAAGAACCTATGTCAGCCATTAAAATATATAGATCATTCACTAAAAGCATAACACTCAGAATAGAAATATACCATCCACTAGGAACTTAGTAAAAACACAATTCTTTTGATCCAACATAGACCTGCTTAATAACCAATGCTGAAATACAAGCCAGTGATAATATATTTGAACAGGCCTATGGGATGATTTTGATGCATGCTAACGTATGAAAATCAGTTGTTTCAATCTTATCTGATGTGTACAATAAATGTTAATATATCCAGGTAATTCTATACATATTCTATACATATATTCATAACAACAAGTATATTGAAAACAACACAATACTGTACCAGGATTAATTTTCATCACCACTTCCTTAGTGACAGCTTTGCATACACTATGGAACTCTAAATATATTTGATGAAATGGTTTCATTGATAAAGACTCTAATTTTTCATCTGCCACCGGGCCAATAATATCTATTATTTGCTGTACTTTGAAGGATCCAATTTGGCGTGGAGTAAAGGAACATATCACATTCTAAAAAGAAGAAAAGAAAAAGTAATCAATGACCTATCATTATGGAAAAAATACAAAGAAATCATTTATTTTAGTTTCAAGGAACACTAGTTCATCATGGTGATATTAAAGTACTTTATGGAAATCCAGCATGGACAAATATAAATATTATTAGGAATTTAAGAAAAACTAAGAATACAGTACACCACAGCATTTGAAGAATGAGAGTTAGAGGACTTCCAGATATTCCTCCTCACAAAGAAAAAGAAAACAATGACATAAACTTGTCAAAATATACTTTTTCAGATATTTAAAAGTTATCTTACAAACAAATATCTGAACTATTTTTAATGTTGCTAAAACTCTAAAGGAATAGAAAAGTTTGAGTCATTTTTATTTACTAAATTCTCCTTCTAAACCTAAGTAAGATTTCTCCTGAAAAAAAAAAAACAGCACTAGAAATATATGACTATGAAAAACATTAGCCTAGATGCAATAAAAGGAAATAGGTTTACAAAAGTCCAAGAGTTTAATCTTAAGAGAATTGTAACTGTGTGTTCTAACTGGCAAGCTTGCTGGCTAGAATGCCTAATATTAGAGCATGCCTTTATTTGACATGATTCAGAGCTCACTTTGTATCAACAACCATCTCCTGAGCTTAAAAACAGCAAGTGGAAAGTAAATTATTAAATTAAGACTAAGATATTCATATGGCATTTGCAAAGTTCTGGCTTATTCCTGGGAATCTAAATTGTTATACATATAGACAGGACAGTATGGATGCAAAAGAAAGAATTGAGAACACTTTATTCTCTCACTGGACTGACTTGAAACTCTTTACAAGGTTAAAGGTTGCAAGATTGGTCTATAAAAATAACTGCATCCAGGCACTGATGGCTCAGGCCTGTAAATCCTAGCTACTCAGGGGCTGAGATCTGAGGGTCATGGTTTGAAGCCAGCCCAGGCAAGAATGTCTGTGAGACTCTTATCTCCAATAAAAACTATTAAAAAGCCAGAGTGGAGCTGTGTCTCAAGTGGTAGAGCACTAGCCTTGAGCAAAAAGCTCAGGGACAGCACCTGGGCCCCGAGTACAAGCCTCAGTACTGGCACAAAAATAGAAAACATTTTATATACTATAGCTAACATTTATTGTATCTAAATTAGGGGTCATACTAATGAAACATTATGAGATATAAATAGAAGCTACTTGCAATATAAACATGTACAATAGTCTGTGATTACAATTAAATCTTCCATCAGTAATTTCATGAGGCACATTACTATGCAGTAGAGGAAAGGTGATAAAATAACAAACAAGTAATATAATATTGACAACTTTCATGTTTAGAACAGAATTTGGCAAACTTTTTCTGTAAATACCCAATATAAGTATTTTAGGCTTTGAAGAGACTGATTGTAGCTCAAAGGTAGAGCACTTTCCTAGTATGTTCAAGGTCCTAGGGTTCAAAGCTTACCATTCAAAGGAAAAAAAATAATGTGCCATGTCATTTCCTCACCAATACTTAACTCTTCCTTGATAGCAGAAAATCAGTTTTAGACAATTGGAAAACAAAAATGAATAGCTATGTTTCACTAACACTATTTACCAACAAAACAGATATAGGGGGATTTCTGCTTTCAGATCATAGCCGTCAGAGCCCTGATTTAAGGCATCTAGGAAAGAGTTGTCTGAGCAGCAGTTATAAATAAGATAGCACATGACATCCAGAAACTAGCCTGGCACCAACATGAATGCCTTGGTATTATCAGCAATATTAGTGCAGAATAGTTATCACTAGTTTCCAATTTCAAATTTTACTCAATCTTCAAGGTACTGCCCATGTTATTTTCCTGTGATGACCTTTCTACTTGGCTGGAAGCAAATACATTCTGTTCTCTAGGTTTCTATGCATGTCACTCTATTACTGTTCTCTTTTAATATAATCCACATCTTAAACCATATGCCTTACAACTCTGTATTACATTAAAACATTTTAGAAGCAATGACTATATTTTATAGGTCTTAAGAATGATAAATGCTTTTCCTGGCACATCATAGGCATTTAGAAAATAATTCCTGATTCTCTATTACTATAATTATAAAAGTACTCAGAGATAACTCTAGGAAACAAAAGTCCTTGTAGAGCAAATGTGGTTTCTTTTCTCTTTTTTCTTTAGGTGATACTGCGTTTGAATTCAGGGACTTGTACTTGGCTAAGCAGGCCTTCATCCATTTGCACCACAGTTCTCATGAATTTTGGCCTTACTTTCAAGTCTTCAATACTTTCAAGTATTCCTACCTTTGATATGCTGCACAGCTAGCATCCATGGTGCATTCCATCATGTCCATATTATTGGCATTTAGTGAAACAAAGATCTTACGAACTAAGCCCGGAAATGGCTAATTACACCTGTAATCCTAGCTACTCAAGAGGCTGAGATCTGAGGATCACAGTTTGAAACCAGCCTAGGCCATGAGACTTTTCTCCAACCACAGAAAGCTGGAGGTGAAGCTGTAGTTGAAATAGTAGAGCACTAGCTTTGAGTACAAAAGCTCAAGGACAGTGCTCAAGCCATGGGTTCAAGCTCTAGGACCCCAACCCCACTCCACCTCGCACATGTGCACACATGTACACAGACACAGACACAGACACAGACACACACACACACACACACACACACACACACACACACACGAGCTTCCTAGCTTTTCACATGGGCTGGCCTCAAATCATAATCCTCCTAATCTCTACCTCCTAAATATCTGGGATTACATTCATGACTGACTCTGGCTGGCGGAAACGTGTGGCTTTTAACTCTCCATATCATTTGCTTTGGTATTTTTTTTGGTAGATCTTAAAATATATGTGAATTAAAGTAAAGAAAAACTGTCTTACAACAAGACACTATGTTGGAAATTAACCTTACAACTTTGGTGGGGGAGGGGGAGCTAGAGGAGGGAAGGGATAGTGGGAGAAAAACAAAGGAGTGGGTAACAATGCCTGAAAAGAAATGTACTTGTTACCTTACTGATGTAACTGTAACCTCTATGTACAGCATCATTACAAGAAAATAAAATTTGACAACAAAAAACCTGTCTTACCTGGATACACCCTTCATCAATCTTTCCCCTTGCAGGGTCAATTGTAAAATGTGCAGTATTTTGAAAACGGTACATCACAGGAAGTGATTTAGACTGATTTTGAACAATACACATAAGATCAGAATGTTCTCCCATATTACAAGGTGGAAAATGAAGGACATTTCCTGGATCAAACTGCAATACTACAGGAAGTCCTGAGCCTGTCAATGCTAATTCCACTTTTTGATGCCTATCGCCTGGCAAAACAAGAACAAACATTTAACATAAAATGAGTGGGGCACTTTGAATACATATAGTTACTTAGTCCATCCACACAGTTCATTTGAAAGGCAATAATAATGAGAAATGGGTAACTTACTCAATATTTTCTTCAACAAAATTATTATCTTCTCTGTGCCAAAAACTCTTCTTGGGTATTAAGTAACAAAGCAGAATTTGTGTTCATGGACTTTATATTATAATGAAGCAATGCTGACCAAAATTAACAACTCTATAGCATTTCTCAGAAGCTAAGTGGTAATAGAAAAGGTAAATTGGAGTGGAATGGATAGAATACAAGGTCTTAGGCATATTCTTGGTAGAAATGTTCAAAAAATATCTCTTTTGTCCAAAGAGACATTTGAGCAAATTATAAAGAGAATCTGGAAAAGAAATCACGTGAACATTCACAAAAAAGTATATTGTGGGCAGAGAAAGCACTAAGTATAAATGCTCCTAAGTATCTAATATCTTGTCATGTTCAAAAACCCCTAAAGAATCAAATATAGTCAGGGAAATATAATAGAAGAATGATGAAAATGGTCATATTGTAGATACACTCTTGGGAAAATCAGATTTGTTTATAGATTGGATACAGATTATAAAGGATGAGACTAGGGTTTTTCACAGAGCAACTAAATGATAGAATTGCCACTTCTCCAGATAGTAAAGAACAAAGGAGGAGTAAATTATAGGAAAAAAACAAAATTCCATTTATAGATGTTAAGTTTGAGGTAACTAGTAGATACCCTTTAATGTGTTTATTAGAGTGATGATGCAGAAAGGATTGGAGAGTTGAAGAAAGATAAAAAGGGATATAATATTCATTTTGATTGAGAAAGTCTGAACAAATGGTAAAATATACTGGGAATAGTAAACTTCTTAAAGAGCCCATAGGTAACATTTACAGATTTAAAGCATAGTTTTCTGGGTTTTGTTTAGTTTTGCTTTTCTCCAACACATTCGTGTTCCAACAAGTTAATCAAGAACAGTCTGAAAGTTGAATTTAATGCGATTAGGTTTTTTTCCCAATCAGCTACTAAGAGAGATGAGTATGTGGAAAAGAATGATTATAATGGACAATGGAAAATGAACTGGGCAAGAAGATAAATATCAAGTTTTAAGATGCTAGAAATACGATAGTAACTGTGGGTAGTAGACTCTAATTAGTGAAAGGACATTTTTGCAAAGAGCAATTTATCTAGAAAGAGTGTATTTCTTCACTGATGGTTTTACTGGCCAATTCTAGGCTCTAAATTACAGTAAGACAAATCTAGCATCTTTACCTCTAGCCATTCAAAGGTAGATTAACTTGCAAGCTTTATATAAATGTTATATGATCAACAAACATAGCTCAATATCACAAACTGTGACATAAATAGTAACAGCAATAAAGTTCTGCCTTAGGAACACAGTTTAATCTTTCTCACTATCACTTGTATTTATCTGCAACTATTTTACTTTCAATTTTCGTAAGTGTTTGGGATGGACCTAAACTTCTCTGGCATGGGTCATTTTTTTATGTCTGAATTGTTTATTTCCTTGTTTTGACTGTTTTTTTTAGAGGATCCAAGTCCTATTTCATTTTTTTTTACTGATCACAACCAGTCCAATAATACCTAAGAATTCAAAAGTATAATGTATAATGAGATGTGCCCTATAAATCATGTGCCTTATCAGTACCTTACCACTGTATATATGAGTCAAAATGAAGTGATGATCTGGTAAAAAATCTGGTAAAAATGGATATGCTCTTACACCAAGCACTAAGAACACACACAGACATAGCAACTAAAATCAGTTTTTTAAATTTTCTAAGTTCTAGATCATTGCATTTACCTAATATCATTTTTAATTGTAAGGTTATCTAAATTTCACCTGTTCAGATTATAATGAAAATGTTTAAAAGGTTGACTTCATTCTTAACATAGCCCTGATGACATATTAAGAACACTCGACAATATGGGCATTTTTGTTCAATGTAATGATTACATATTTTATTATATTTCCATAATTTTAAAAATCCTATATTTTCCTTACAAATATTTATGTTCAAATTTTAGCTTTAACTGATATATACTTGTTGATTTTTATATTTTTATACTTACTTTGGATAGTTTTATAGTCATCATCTCTCAAAAAGCCATCTTTACTACCTACTGAATCAAACCTTACATAGAGAGCATAGTCTTGCCTATGGGAAGGCCCAATATCCTTTATACGATCAGCTACTAACCTGTAAAAATCATGAGAAATTATTTTAAAGGAGATATACCTTATCACCTCTCAAAATAAATTACTAACATAATTCTGAAGTCTATGTAAGCAAATTAAAGAACATAAAGCTCAGTCTGAATATAAAAGTCAGAAAAATGAGTTTATGACAATGTTTCAAAGATGATACTAAGTCATCAAGACCTGGCTTACATGCTACTTTCTCTAAAAAAGATTTTCTTTCCAGGAAGAATTTATTGATGTCTAAGGGCTCTGATAAATTTTCTATAATAGTCAATCTTACTCCTGAGATGAATTGAAAAGTTCTGTTACAAATATGTCTTCCCTAGTGGAGTAAATACATATCGCCAGCAAATAAATAAATAAATTTGCATTTCTACCATACAAGGTCTCCAATGATTTCTCCCATAACATGAAGTATGTTAAATGATCATCAAAAATACTAGCAATTATATTAAGCATACTAGAATATATAAAACCTTAACATGAAATCAGATTGGAATTTTCTGGTAAGTTTTACTGTGAAAAGTATACAGTCTGTTTGAAGTGTGGTTAAAGGAAGGTTGGACATGAAGCACATGCCTAAGAAGGATTAGAAGTTTGAAGCAACCAGGACAAAACTAGAGTCATTAGCTCAGATACAAAATATAAATGAATTCTAGGAGTATAGCCTCGCATGGATGAGGCCCTGTCTCAATCTTCAGTTTTGGAGAATCACACACAACACACACACACACACACACACACACACACACACAACTATGTTGTTAAAGGGTTGAGGATATAGTTCAGAGATTGAACACTTTCTTAGCATGTGCAAAGTCCTGAGTTCTATTACATTGCCATAAAATTTTTAACAGAACATAATAGCATTAACGTAATTTCCATTAATAATTAACATTTCCATGTAAGTAATTTTTGCTTACTTACTTTGGACTGAAACAAAATGTAATCACAATCTTTTCATATGGTAATAAAGTCCCCGAATTAGGCATGCATGAGATAAAATTAGTAACATCTATGTCCTTTATTTTGTTTAAATAAGCAAGATTATTTAAGGCAATATCTGTTCTCTCTGGAACATTTGAACCCTGTAATAAAATAATTAGAAATAAAAGCATATTAAAGTAAAACAAAAATATTCTAGAAGTTTAATAATTACAGAAATTTCAATATTCAGAAAATAGAGAATATCTAATTTTAAAGCAAAACATAACTAATGTAAAGCACATGATAAAGAATTTAAAATATTAAAAATAACAATAATCCCTAGTTACTGCTCTATAAAAACACTTATTTGATTTACTTAAGATAGATATTGCTAGAAATAATTTATTACATTTATGAGGTTACTGTAGAAAATACACATCTGTCAGATGAATCTGTCCAGTTTGGAACATATGTAAAATAAATAGCTTCCTGGTTATTAATATATTAAGGAGCTGTTTAAAATTATAAAACCTGTTATACCTGTTGTATGATTTACTTACTAATTCTTCCCCAACAGAATCATCTTCCATTATTGCCACCCAATTTATGGTTTGAGGGCTATTATTATGTAGAATTGCATGTTCAATTTTTGATGTTCCAAAAAAAACAGAACCGAATCTTATACATTCCAACTTTTTGTTATTATTCATGTTAAATAATTCAATAATCTGTTCAACCACATGAACTTTGATATTTAAAAATATATCAGGACGACCTTGTAAACGCACTCTACAAGAAAATAAAATATGCACATGCATAAATATTTAATAATAATTGTACCATTTATTTCCTTCTAAACATTTTGATAAAATTATGTAAAATGACATTATAATTAAAATTTAATAGCTTAAGAGCAGTTCCTTTCACATACATTATAGAGATTATCAGGTCCTGTAGTCTGTCTGAGTCTTCACAGTAGAACATCATATGTGCAACTTAATTCATAGTCTAATAAAAACAATAAGGTTTGAAACAAACTCACAACTTGACTGCAGAAAGAACTCAATGGAATGACCTCCAGGTTTTTACCTTAGTTTAGACCTTTATTGTTTCCTCTTGCTATATTTCTAGGATCTCTAGTAAGGCTATGCCTATGCCATATTTGTACAACCTATTCTGTTTTTTTGTTTGTTTGCTTGCTTTTGTTGGTGATGGGGCCTGAACTCTGGGTCTGGCACTGTCCATCAGCTCTTCAGCTCAAAATTAGCTCTTTACCACTTGAGTTATGGCTCCACTTCTGGCTTTTTCTGCTTATGTGTTGCTGAGGAATCGAACCCAGAGTCTCATGCATGCAAGGCAAGCGCTCTACCACTGAGCCACCTACACAGCCCCCATTCTGTTTTGTACACTGCTGTTACCATGGCTTTTCTAAAATGTCAACTAATTGAAACATCCCATTCCAAAAGTCTCAGTGACTTTAAAGTCTTCATAATAAAATATAAACTCCTATCAGAGCTTATAACTGTTTCTCATACATTTGTGCTATGGCCTTTAATAAGAAATATATTTTACATTGCAATGTAGTAACCAACACATCTGTATACTCCAAAAGCACTGAAAGACATTTACCTTACTATATGAGATTTATTCTAATATCTTTTGTTTCACCCTTTAAAACACTAGTGGTGACCCACTGTATTTATTGCACTTCCAATGAACAGACATAACTCATAAAAAAATAATTCTGGTTTATAAGGTCCTTTCATAGATCCTGTGTGGTTCTGTTTTTCTGGTCTCATCTTGAAATATCCTCTACTTCTATATTTCTTTTTTTGGGAGGAGGTCTGGTTATGGAGCCTGAACTCTGGGCGTGGGCGCTGCCCCTCAGCTCTTCAGCGCAAGGCTAGCGCTCTACCACTTGAGCCACAGTGCCACTTCTGGCTTTTTTCTTTTTGCTTATGTGGTGCTGAGGAATTGAACCCAGGGCCTCATGCATGCAAAGCAAGTGCCCTACCACCGAGCCACCTTCCCAGCCCCTACTTCTATATTTCTTACTACTCTCAGATCCCTCACTATATACACCTCTAAGATTTTAAGGCAAGTATTTTTTTTTCTTCCTGAAATGATACCACTAAACCAATTCCTTCTACACACACAGATACACACACACACACATACACACACACACACACACACACACACACACACACACAATCATACTACTGTTGTTTGCTGACTATTCTATTTTACTAATAAGTGTTTGGTTCAACTATCACCTGTTATCTGAGCCCTTTCTTCTTCTACTCCTTCACTCCTATATGTGTACCCAAATGTCACATTCTAGGTTTTTTTGTTTTTTTGTTTTTGTATTTCTGAGACCATATTACTGGCCAAATTGTAGTAACTAAGTTATTGCTGAATAAAAGAAAAATAATATAAATCCAAGGCATATATTAATTATGAGACAAAAAAAGTTTAAGATCCTTACTAGAGTTAGAATGATAGTAATATTACCTTGCTACTTCATTCACGATTCTGGGCTGGTTTGCACAGAAATCCACTTTGATAACTACAAATGATTTAGGTTTCACAGTACCAGTTGTTGGAGCAATGAGTATAGGCAAATGGCCCTGGTAATCTGTACGAAACAAACCTAAGGAAAATAAGAGTTATAGTATACATCTGGATCCTTATAATGTTTCATTAATAGTCCAAGTAAGGGACACACACACACACACACACACACACACACACACACACACACACACAACATAGAAGATGGTCTATTGCTGAAAAAGCATAATTAATTGTAAATCTAGAAACTCATCTCTAGTCAGTAGCTAAAATATAATATCCACTTACTATGTGGTAAGAACATTGCATACTTTATATTTTTAATCTTTATCTCTTTATCTTTACTTAATAAAAAAACAGATGATAGAAACACTGACTTACCTTTGCAAAGTCAAATAGCTGATGTAGTAGCTGTTTTACACTCAGCTGCATTCACATCTTTAAGCTTTTGTAAACTATGGGTGTTTCCTAACTCCTGATTTTGGTTTTAACCAATAAAATCTGAGCAGAATTGATAGTATTCAAGTTCAAATTCAAATGTACTTGACAGTAAAGTGACGAATGTTTTCCTTTAGTAACTGCTACTTCATTGGCCTATGCCCCAGAGTACAAAAAAGTGCAGCAGATCAACCAAACTAACCCATACACTTGAAGTAAGAAACAAAGCAGCCTGGGCACCAGTGGCTTATGCCAAGCTACTCAGGAGGCTGAGATCTGAGGATAGCAGTTTGAAACCAGCCTGGGCAGGAAAGTCTATGAAACTCTTATTTCCAATTATCCATCAAAAAAGCCATAAGTGGAGCTCTGGTGGGGTACTAGCCATGAGCAAAAAAGCTCAAAGTACCTAGGCAATGAATTTAAACCCATGACCAGAAGAAAGAAAAGAAAAGAAAGAAGGAAAGAAGGAAGGAAAGAAGGAAAGAAGGAAGGAAAGAAAGAAAGAAAGAAAGAAAGAAAGAAAGAAAGAAAGAAAGAAAGAAAGAAAGAAAGAAAGAAAGAAAGAAAGAAAGAGAGAAAGAGAAAGAGAGAAAGGGAGGGAGGGAGGGAAGGAGGGAGGAAGGAAGGAAGGAAGTTCAAGACAATCTTTATACAAAGAAACAAAAAATTTTTATATATGGAATGGGGTAGCAGGTGTTATGATACCAATTCTAATACCTATGAAGAAGTAAAGGTAAGAAATTCTCAGTCTGTGCCTGACTTCATAAAAAAGCATGAAGTCCTATTTCAAAAATAAGTAAAACAAAAAATATTTGTGAGTGAGATTTAACTGATAGAGTACCTGCTTAGCAAGTGAGAGATCCAGATACCATTATAAAAGTTTTGAAAAGATACTGAATATTGAAACAACTTGTTACATAGCAATATTTACTGCAGCTAATAATTGATAGAGCTCAGAGTGTTTCTAAATATAATATTCACACTTATAGCCACTAGTACTTCCTAAAGATTATTCCATTCACAGAAGGTAATGGAAAAGAGAATATGTTTCTGAAATTAAATGGCATATGAAAAGTTACAGTGATTTCTCATTCTGAGAACAAAGGTAGCTTACAATTTAATGTAATGTTTGGGGTCTACATTAAAACATGCCAGCCCTGAGATCAGACACTCTATTTCATCTTTGTGGTCCCAGAACTCTACATCTTGCCTAGTGCTAAGTATTGTCCAAAATACCTGCAACAAATTGGGACAATGAACCAGTGTTATTTGTCATCATAAAATATTAATACAAATGATTGTGCTGCGTAAATAAACACTGAGAATCTGCAATTCACAACTTTTAAATCACCTTTGAAAATATTGTCTGAAATTATTAATTTAATATATGATAACTAAATATGAGCAAAATGGAGTTACTGAAAACATAAAAAAAGATTTTTGGCTAATTCAAGGATGAACTGAGCAAAATTCAAAATAGCAATTTTACTAACTATTTTTATGGGAATGCTAATGACATAATATTTAAGATTCCTTTTTACTGCCATAAAATATACCCATTTTAAATAAAGTGTTAATGTCTTAATTCTCTAGGAGAACAAATAAAAGAATCAGTTAAGGCTGAATTGGAGAAGTAGTTCCTATAGCATAATTAGCTAGGCATAATTTTTGGTCTACTTTAATTTTCAGTTAGCATACATTAATGAAAAGAAGGGATTTCATTGTGATAATTTCATAAGTGTACAGTGTTCTTTGAACAAGTTCACCCACTCCATAATACTCTTCCTCCTCTCCTCTCCTCTTCAAACAGGATTTGATGGATTTCACTGTGCTGTGTGTGTTTATCTAGGATCCTTTGATCCTCTTTGCCCTCAGTATTCTTTCCTTTCTTGAGCCAAGTCCTGCTGATCCCTCCCTAGACAGTCTTCTTTTTTTATTAATATCACATTATTATCATATCACCATCATCATCTGACAAAAGAATGTGAGTGAATGTTCAAAAGTTATTCGCAATAAAACCCAAAGAACATTCTCAATCTTTATAAATACTTTACAATAATAGATATGTTAACATTATTATTTTATACAAAATTAATATATCTTTATACAATTTTTAAACAAGAAACTACTTTCATGACTTTTTAAAATTGGTAAAAAAAAAAGTGCTAATTTTAATATTTTAGCTCAATTTTGGTTTTGTCAGTCATGGGGCTTGAACTGAGGGCCTTGGCACTGTCCCTGAGCTTTTTTGCTCAGAGCTAGAGCCACAGCATCACTTCTAGCTTTCTGGTGGTTAATTGGAGATAGAGTCTCATGGACTTTCCTGCTTGGGCTGGCTTTGAACCACGCTCTTCAGAGGTCAGCATCCCGAGAAGCTAGAATTATAGGCATGAACTACCAGTGCCTGGCTCAGATTTTTGTTTCTTTACAGATACAGTGCTCATTAAAGTAGAAGAAAATAAATTCAAAGGAAGTAAGATGTAACTTCAGAAAAATAATTTAGCTTGGTTTACTTACCAAAAGATATGATAGTCTATTGTAAGAAAGTGGCAATGGGACAGAGAAAAGTAAGGCTACTGATTTGGCAGAACCAGTAAAGTTGTAGTAGAAAAAAGGGTATTGAGACTTTTTTCAAAATTTTCTAACATGACCAAAAATAAAGTAGTAGCATTGAGTGTAAAGGAGAAAACGTTTTGGATGACAGGTAATGAGCTTGGTATTGTATAGAAATAGGAGTACACAACAAAAGAGAATTGAAGAGTGGAAAGGTGGTAGGAAGGAATTGTAACACCAATATTCAATATATATTGAACACAGTATATAGAGAGGAATATATTAAATTATTAATCGTCACCATAATGGCAGGGTAAATGCCCAGCTATCTGTAATATACAAATGAGGCCATAAATGTTTTAAAAGAGTAAATTTAAATTTTTTGTCAGTGGCTTCCAATTCATAAATGGTAGAACCAAATTTGTACTATAGTTAGTACAAATTTATATAGCACAAAGTTGACTTTAGTCAACGTCCCATTAAGACCTGAGTTTTAACTGCTCTTCTATTTAGGAGAGAGGTAAAAACAGACAAAGCATTTTGTGCACTGGTTTTATTTTATCCAAAAAAAAGGATAGTAGTACTATGTCAAAAGTCCCTAATAAGCTGTGCAAAACAAATCATCTTGTCACTGTCAAAAGCTATGTACATATGACCATATAAGATGATGTTAAGTGAAATGAACCCCAAGATAGGGACACAAGTGGTTTGTTATTACTTGTTATTGTTTTTAATGTATTTATAATGTACTAAGTTTTTTTTCCTTTGGTATGTTCCTCCCCCACGGTATAATCCTTGTTTTCACTGTATTTGATGTCAGTGTCCTGCATCTTATATATACATTTTTCTAATTTGGGGAGGGGAAGGGAAATAACAAAATGCTTAAATAGGGATACAGGTTGATCCATTGTAACAATGAGATGTACAAGTCACTATGTTGAAAACAAACTTTACTACTTTGGTGGGGGGGGGGCAGGAGGAGTTGGGGAGGTGGGGAGGGGATGTAGGGGGAAAACAAAGGAAGAGGTAACAATGCTGGATAGGAAATGTTCTCATTACCTTACTCATGTAACTGTAACCCCTCTGTACACTATTTTTACAATAAAAAACATATTTTAAAAGAAGATCTTGGAGACCACATGTGATCTAAGGGTACCTAAAGCAATGACTGAGCTGAAGAGTCCTTTATACAAATTTGTGTGGCTTTTGAATCTGGGTTGTTCTCCATTTTCTAAAAAAAGTTGAGACAGCTTAAAAATTTAAATTGCTGGGCACTGGACTCTGAAATCTGAGGATTATGGTTCAAAACCAGCCCAGACAGGATAGGCTGTGAGAATCATCTCCAATTAACCACAAGAAAACTAGAAGTAATGCTGTGGCTGCAAGTGGTAGGGACACTAGCCTTGAGCGAAATAGCTCAGGGACAGCACCCAGGCCCTGCGTTCAAGCTCCAGGATCGGCAAAAAAAAAAAAAATCATCTTTGGTTGTGTGTTCTTCATGAGAACTTTAGTTTACAAGCAATTAACAAAGCTCATGTAATACATACTATCAATTGATGGAAAAATAAGGTGATTCAAATCCAAGGATGAGCTTAAAGTTAATGTCATAAAAAAATCAATTTACTTGATAAGCATTTATTTTAGTTTTTAAAGTAATAGTAAAACATTTCACAGTACTCAGTTATAATATTCTTACCCATATTAATATGTATATATAACAAACACAAAATATGCACACAATTCTAAAAGTCAATGTGGATTATTTCTTCAAAAACGTATGGACCTCAGACTGCAACTTAATTAGATTTCTTTCGTTTCATTAAATAAATTTATATTATTTAATTAAAATTAAAGCCATATTTATTTTTTACTCAGGGGGCCTTCATGTGTAGTAGAACTGACTGAACAATTTGATTAAATTTTAGTAAAAAGGATAGAGCATTTTTATTAAAACTCTGAAGGATAATGACTGAATAATAGTTAAGGGAAATTTTGGAAGATAAAATAGTACAAAAAACTCTCAAGTACCTATTGTTACTCTAAAATATAACCATAATAGCTAAGTCATTACAGCTCAGTCACTTGTCATCAATTTAAACTTGATTATTTATAATAAGTATTTGATAAATTTACAGGTATTGGACATATACTTACTTAAAACCCAAAACATTACAAGTTAACTGAGCAACCTCCATTGAGGAACAGTTTTCAGTTTTCTTCCTTTCCAGGAAGAAATGTCAATCAAGTAGTCCCAGAGAACAACTTCAGTTAGTGGGAAAGTCAGAGTCTCTTCTTTCTATATCTAGTCCTCGTATTAGATTGAGAGAACTGCCAGTATTCAATCTGAGATGCTAACCAAGTAATCAAAGGACTGGAAGAATGAGTGGATTTATGTTTACTGGATACCTTCAATGAGAAGTATACATTGTGCATGAATATACACACATACATTCATGGAAATTTCTAAGCTATAGTAAGAATCTACAGAAATAATATTCTGGACAAACTTGAAATATTATTCTCTCAGGAAAACATTAGTAAAAGTCTTCTAGGAACAATGATATAAATTCAAAATTAAATATGACACAGAATCAAGGTAAAATTGTCAAGTGCTAAAGATGAGCTAGGGGCTAAAGCACAATTTCAAATGTGTATCTAATTAAACATCATACAATTTTGTTAGTCCCAGCTCATAAATAAGCAATCTGAAGTTTAATATCTTTAAAGATATTTTCCCTACTTCACACAACTAGTAAGTTATTGTGCCTTAATTCTGCTTCTGATTGGCTCTGGGAACAATGCTACTACTGTGACATCACCCTAACTCCTGAGCTCAGAGAGATCACCTCTCTTCTGAGACTCAGGCTTTGTTAATAAGGACTATACAATGGCAAATTCATTTTTGTTGAGTTATCACATTCTCTGTCTTTTACAGTCAAACTAAGAAACTTTGCTTTTGAGCTACTTCAAATGATAAACATTTTTATGAATCAGAAACCTATTAAATATGCAAGGTATTAAATAGTAACTCTTCTAAAAGTATAAATTAATTTCTATGAGAAAAATATTTACCAGGAGCTTTCCCATGGTTAACAATATGAACCTCTTTACAATATACTGTACTGTCAGCAACTAATGTGCCGAAATCAACTACTGGTTCAATTTCAAGCTGACAACAGGGTATCAACCTAAGGGAGGAGAAAAGAGACGCATATCATCAAAAATTTGGAATTTCCTTTGGGAATATCCATTCAAAGTAGAAAATATTTCAAAATTAATGCTGCAGTTAGTAGATACAAACAAAATATCTAATAAAACATTTTTCTGAGGAAAAGGAAGATTGTGCATGTACATATGTGAACAGAAGCCACTCAAATTAAAAGCAAATAATTCGACAAGAATCTAAAGCATACTTTTGGTGTATAAAAAGAAACTACTAAATTCTCAACCATCTAGGTCAAATTAATAGTTTGTATCAAATTAATCTCCAAAACATTCAATCTTGTTTTACATTCATATTTACACTTTCAAATCTCAAGTAGAATAATTTTAAAAGAAAAAAATTCAACTTGGTACTGGTGGCTCATGTCTATAATCTTAGCTACTCAGGAGGTTGAGATCCAGAGGATCATGTTTCCAGGCAAGCCTGAGGATGAAAGCCTATGAGACCCCATCTACAAAACAATCAGCAAAAAGCTATGGTTTAGGTTCAAGTGGAAGAGTGCCAAACAAGCAGGCATGATGCCCTGAACCCAAACTGTTGTGCCAGAAAAAAGAAAAAAGTCTGTTATATTTAAATTCAATGAAGTAAATTTATAATACTTTAAAATTAAGTTAAATGTATCTGTAAGCCTAAAAAATCCAATAATCATCATTTGTTGCAAAAAATACAGAAGAGGCTTGTAATTATTACAAATACCATAATTTTAAAAATGTTTTTCATTTAACTTCATTAGGAAATTCTAGATAAAAAACAGAGAAAATATAGAATATTCTTTTGACCCTTATTTATACTTGAAGAGTCTTCAAAATATCAGCATGAAATAGAAAGATACATACCCAATGAGAGGAATCGCTATTACTTTGTTTCCCACTGTGATTAATAACTGGTCAGAAATCTCTTCATTTTTAATTGGATGGTATTCTATCATCACCGTAAAGTGTAGGCCTGAAGCAAGCTCCTTTTCCAGGTTAGTTAGTATCAGTTTGAACTTCAGACGGAAAAAAAGAATCAAATTATACATTTTAATTCTTTATAAGGAAGTAATGTGAGCAACTGTATTTATGACTGTAATTTTTGTCAAAACATAGGCCTTATTCCTATATGAAAAGCAAAAAACAAAAATACAAACTTTTTCTAAATTTGAATTTTATTTTCTTAATTACTTAAAAAAAACTAATTGGAATTATTCTGTTCTCACAGTATTATAGGGCAATTACAGAATCATAAGATTAAAATGCACAGATGAAAAGTAGATAGTGACAAACTAAAGTTCAAACCCAGGATGAAGAAATAGAATGATTCTAGCTCCTCTCCCATCCTGTCTTCCTGAACAAGCGCGCGCACGCGCGCGCACTCACACAACTCAAGTCCCTGAACTCTGTGAAGTCCAGTCCTTTCCCCATCTCCTCAGGAGCCCAAGTTTTACCACCTTTGGCAAAAAAAAAAAAAAAAAAAAAGAGGTGCTCTGGTGAGGAGGCCTTCCGGAGGCTCTCTTTCCAGTAGACCTTAGTATCTCACCTGTGGCTTGCTAGGCTCCTGAAACCGGATTTTCTGGTTCCAGCGGCCAAGATTGTGTAGTGTAATTGGTGAGCGGTAAATTCTTCCAGCTACTGCATCGTGGAATTTCAGTTCCATGGGGGAAACCCGCACCTGAACTTCCTTCTTCAATCCATCTAGATCTCTGGGGACTACGGAGTACCTTTCCATGTCCATGTCTGATTTTGGACTAACAAGAAATAGTTGCCAACTTCACCAACTCGCCACTTACGTCAACAACTGTCTCCAGGAGACTATTAGGACGCTGCGCCAGCATACTAGCCCCGCCTCTACTGACGCTTCAAAAGGGAGACAGCTGGGACAGAAAGTGCTGGTCTGACGAAATAATTCAAAAGTCTCAGGTGTCACTAAAGTAGCGAAAATCCATTATGCCAGGCCAGAACTCAGAGCAGTTCATGTGCCTTGCAGTGTTTTAAGTCTGTATTTGGAGTAGGGGACATTTTTTTCTGTAACTCTCTTCAGAGTAACTTTAAAGATCAGTGAAATTTAAGCGAACGGTACATTAAGGTAGCAAGATGTGTCAAAAACAGAATTTCAGGTGAAACAGTCTTCTCAGTCAATGTTGCTTACAATACCAAAAGACTGAATCTACAAAAAAATATATATATATACGGAGAGATAAGATCTATCCATGATGGTTACTAATACAATTCTTTATGTACATTTATGTAGAAAGATACTGATTATACATTATTAAATTTTAAAAAGTATCTGGATTCTGGGTGCTCACATCTGTAATCCTAACTACTTACAAAGCTGCGATTTGAAGTTCATTGTTCAACGCCAGCCTGTGCTGGCATAGGAGTCCATGACACTCTTAGGTCCAAATAACAAGTAAAAAGCTGGAAGTGGAAGTATAGCTCATGTGGTAGAGTGTCAACCTTTATCAGTAAAAGCCAAGTGTAAGTGAAAGTTTCAGCACTAAAAGAACAAAACAAATGATAATAAGTAAAAATAGTGGCCACATAGTACGTATATGATGATGCTGGGTTTGTTGTTGCTGTTATATGTTTGTTTGTTTTTTCCGTCCTAGAGACTGAGCTAAAGGCCTCCACAAGCTAGCCAGACCCCTCCCCCCAGCCTTTTTGTTTGTATTTTTGTTTCTGAGATAATGTCTTTGTTTCAATAACTTTTCCTAGGCTTACCTGGAAAATGCCTTCCCTCGTCTCCATCTCCTGAGTAGCTGGGATACAGGTATTTACCACAATGTCCAGCTTCTACTTCTTTTCAAATACACACACACACACACACACAAACACACACACTAAAAGCAGTCCCTCTGGGGGAGTATATTAGTAGGGCCTAATGTGTATTTATAAGAAATGCCCAGTTAATTCTACTGTTAAAGGTCCAGGATCAAACACTGAGTACAGACAGTTCTCAGGTATTCTGGATATAATCTTCATTTCACAAATGAAGGTGTCATTTGAGATTCAATGATCTAAAGTCTACATTTCTAGCTGAGAACTTTTTCAATAGGTTCAAATTTACATTGCCTAACCTCTTCTGTCCCCTTATCCTTATTCTAATATGTTCTCAAAGTTTCAAAACATACCAAGTGCTTTTATTTCCTCCTTCCTATTGCAGGAGATATTTACTCTGAGACCTATGGCCTCTTCATCTGCCAAAGAATTATTCTTCAAGACCTGTATACTTTTGTAAAAACCCTTCCCTTAAAAATTGATAAATAGTTACTTTACTTTTAACAAGAAAGGAGAGATTAGTAAGTAGCCCTAAAAATAAAAGCAAGTGAGTAGATTTCTTAGAAGTATTGTCAGTAGTTGAGAATAGTGATTGAGATGGTAATAATTATGTGCCAATTCTTAGAAAGTGGTAGAATTTTCTGTATCATGTTTCAAAATTCTGTCTTAGTTGAATAAGTAGATGTGAATCAACCCTGGAAGTTTTAATACTAGTCACTATTGTCATATAGTAAAACTCATGTCTATATCCTTCTACCCCAGAGCAAGGCAATTTTACAACTTTGAATGAACAACAAAGGTTCATGGTTCAACTGAGTACAAGCCACAGTCCCTGCACAGCACCTTAATCAATCCCTAAAAGAATTGCAAAACTAAAGAAGTCTCAAACTTTCCTTGGGCTTCTCTCAAGATGATGACTGGCTCAAGTATGGATTTATATGTACAACTAAAAGATATAGCAGTAAAAGTCAGCTGGAAAATATTTTTTCTGTTCTCTTGATATTCTCATCAACTAGGGAAGATTGGGGAAGACTGTCACTTTGGTCTCCAAGTTCACTAAACCTGGAGTTCAGTTCCTTACCCTCAGTCTCATATAGAACATTCTTTATTTTTAGGTACTCTTATCAACTAAAAATGCCAATTTTAAGTGAAATGTATATTTACTCTTAAATTCTCCTAATTTCTATTGTCAAGAAATCACCATATAAACAGTCTTTTTTAAGGCTCAGCTGTTTTCAGTTAAATTTTTCAACCATGTATGATAATATAGTAACTTTAAACTTGTGCAAATAACACATAATGACAAAACATTTTTCATAATAGTAATTCAAAACAAACAGAAAACAGAGTGAGTTGGATAAGGTCCTCCAGTGATGATCTTCCCATCAATTAGGACAGGTTCTCACACATGTCCACAGCTAAGGAAGCCAGGTGACTAGTTTTAGTATAAAAGCAAAAGGAACATTTGAAAACTCTGGTAGGAAAAGTTGCCCATATCATTCTTCTTTAATTCCAAGCAGCATGACAGAAATGCTTTCTACTTGGAAGAAAGAGATACATACTTAAAATTGAGACCCAATATAAGGCCTACCATAGTGAATCTCAATATTAGGTAGAGACCTACAACTACTGCCCCAAGTCAGTTTCTGTGGCTAGCATCTAATCCCCTGGAATCACATTATGCAGAAAGCTAAACTTTTCACTTTGGGTAGTAGAGAAGTTAGCAAGACTCCAAATTCTGGACAATAGAGCATGAAAGCTACTGCTAGGCTTTTCCCAAATAGATCAGTGCTGGCCTTTGAAGTAAAAATCAGCATTAGGCAAAAATCGAAAGCTAAAATCCCAGCTTTAGGAGGAGATAAAATCTGTGATAAATTAGATAGATAGATAGATAGATAGATAGATAGATACTTAGTAAATAGGTAGTAAAAACAAGGAAGTATCACTTCAGGAAGACTGAATCAATCAATGGAATGTTTTATTTATTTGAATGGGTTGATAAGTAATTTAGACAACTTGAGCATTCTGAAATTAGAAATGGAATTATGGGAATAGATTAGTAGTAAGTACATAGAAGCAAAGAATAAAATGACTTGGAAAATGGAAAGTTATACATAAGAAGAGAAATAGCAATAAGCTCTAATGTGGCTCATTATTGAAAATAATTTCCAGAGACAGATTCTTACCAAATCAGAATATAAATCCACATTAAATTAAGTCATAATTATATTGTTAAGTAGTGAGATAGGGAGTATGTCTATAGTGAGCTAGTTGATGAGAAAATAGTAAATTGTCATCTTCTGAAGTTAAAAAAAGTGACCACATCAAGTACAGATGAAGATGTAGAGCAGCAAGAACATTCCCAAATTTGTAATGAGAATGTAAAATTTTGCAACAACTCTGGAAAACAGCTTCAAATTTTTATTAGACTAAACATGCCATTACTATACAGCCCACCAATTGCAGTTATAGAGATTCATCCTAAAGTAATACAGATTTATTTGCATATAACTTTGGCTTTTACTAATTAAGTTTTATTTCATTACATTTTTATTAACTTTAAGTAGTTGTATGAAGGGGTTACAATTCAGCATTTCAGTTTATGAGTAAACTGCATCTTAATCTATATCAACCCTTTAATAATTAAGTTTTCATTGTAATAGCCAAAAAGTGGAAACAGCCTGGTACAATTCAACAGGAACTTGTGATGTATCCATGAATAAAATATTAGTAATGAGAATGAATTATTTACATGCAAAAACCCAGAGTGAATTTGTAGAGAACTGTAGTGAATAAAAAATATATTTGTAAATGATAACAAAATGCATGATTTTTATATAGCATGTTGAAAATGACAACATTTTGAAAATGAAGGAAATATGAATGGTTGGGTATTGGGAGTGGCAAAAGATATCTGAATATCGTTTATAAAAGGAAAAGCTAAGGAATTCTTTTATTGGTGTACTATGATTTTGCTAGTGGAGATGTGAATTAATAAAGATGATAAATTTACACAGAATTAAAACACACACATATAACACACATAATGAGAACTCATAAAACAGACAATATGAGTAACATGTGACATATATCCATGTCAAGACTTGGAATTATCTTTTGGTGGGGATGCTAATGATATTTACTTCATGTATAGAAGTGTAGTTCAGCCAAACATTGTGAAGAATACATAGAATCCTGCAGAGACAGTTTACACTGTGACAATTTAAAAGAGATTTGCCACCAGAGCCTGTTTTACCACTTCTGGCTTTTTTTGATGGTTAACTGGAGATAAAAATTTCACAAACTGCCCAGACTGGCTTTGAACTGTGATCCTCAGATCTCAGCCTCCTGAGTAACTAGAATTACAGATATAAGCCACCAGCACCCAGCATCCTTTTAGCATTTTACCTTTGTTTTTCAGATACTGTCTCACTAAATTCGGAGTAGTAAGTGAATAAAAAAACCCATGAGCTGTATGAACATCAAGTTGGAGAGTGGGAGAATAAATTCGATATTCAGTATATACAGGATTTATGGTATATACAGGATTTACGGTATTGACATTATTTACAGAAGAAGCCAGCAACTCAGTCATTAAGTCCATGTTGTGTTCTGATTGACTACTGACTTATGAGTCTATGTGGCTATTATTCCTGCCTTTATCGTTGACATACATCCTTATACACAAAGGAAACTGAGCACATAGCTTGCAAACTGAAAGAGCCTAACATTTGTTACAAATAGAGTAAATTAATCTTTGACAACACCAATGTTCATGAGTTTGGTGCTCATTTTGTATTCTATGGAATACAAAAGCCCTACTCAATTTTTAAGTCATATAATGAGCTACCTTCCCTCCTTTTATACAACAGACCATAATTTTATTTCAGCTTCTAAATATGATTTATTATATTATATTGCAATTATTTGCTTTTACTATTACTGTTTTATTCA